TCTTCATAAACATGACCATTAGCAGCCAACCAATATAATTGACGCTTCACATCTTTATCAATAGTAAATGTCGGATAAAGAGACAGAAATTTTCTTAGTTTCAACCAAAATATGGATGATAGTAGTCGTAACATTGAAAAATGCAGATGGGGTACAAAATGCGTACCTTAGAGGTACAATTGTTTTTGAGGTACAAAAGGCTCAAAAGGGGGTACTGTACCCCCAAATGGGGTACGGCTGGCAACCCTGTTCGTAATACAACTAATCGATGAAAATGTCCTTTCAAGTTACTCTTACCCAAACCTTTACAAAGCTCGATATGGTTCAAAGTCGCTCAACTAGTATATTTCAGGACTTGGGTGTGAACTCGGTTAAATATTGTTTTTATTGTTTACTTGTGTACCTGCAAGAAGGTTATTGCATATAATTGAGAAAAATATATGACACGGTTTTGGAGCGAGAAGGGTCATCGGGATGATGCTATGCCTATACATAGTTCGAATCGGTTTCGCCATTGCTTTCAACAGATTTTCTTTGCCATAGAAACATAGTTATACATGAATCTATACGGATATATTTATTGGTGAAAATTTGCAAAATATAACAGTTATTGTTAGTTGTATGTTCGTTTTATTCTGTCACGCGCGATAGACCATTACGAAAGCTTAGAAGAGTTAGCAAATTTGATCAACCCTTCGTCTAGAAATCCGGTTAGACTTTTTCTAACAAATAGTTGTTCTTCAGTGACATCACATGGGCAAAATTCTGCCGTGCTTGTTCGAAGAATAGGCCCATTGAAACTCTTCTTTTGAGCCTAGAAGAAAAAGAAGTCCCAAATCAACAGATTTCTATTAGAAACAAATGCTGTACTTACTTGTCGAGCAAGTGCAATTATACAATATGTTACTTGAGCTATGTTACGTTTTTCAAATAGATCGACAGTTTGAAATAAGTCTAGATCGCGTAAGCCGTAGGCACGAGCCGCATTTTCTATTTCATATGTATCAATTTGACAATAATTATAATAGAGAATTTCTATACTCACGAAAGAAACATATATTTTCTCGTGATCTAAATCCTCCAATTGTTGTGGTAAATTTTGGGATAGCATTTGGTTGAAGTTTGTTCATAAGTCTTTTATCAACATGAATATAAAAAGAACAGAATCGAATTGACTAATAGAAAAAAAAATCTAATATACTTGCACAAGATAATACCATTCCGGAGAGCATCTTCATAAGAACAATTGGGAAATTTTTCAGCGATTACTAACTCGATCCATGCTTGTGCTTGGCTGTCAAGTTTAGGATCACGTTTTGTTGCTATCTAAGCATTACACATATATTCGAATATATCAGAACAATGAAAATTTCCAAAGAAAATAAAAAAACAAAGAGACAGTAACAAACAGACGACTTCTTGTTATGTTAGTATCAGAAAAGTAAATAAGATTGATCTAGTGATGGTAACGCTTGCACTTTAAGGACGGATATGTATTACAGTGTTACTTGTAACCGCTAACGTAAGATGTAAACTTTTTAAATTCAGAAATCATTCGTATCCATCGCCACATAGCGAAGGGGAAAAAAGAAAAAATATGTACATGTAGTGATGTAGCCTCACGTAGAATTTAAGAAATAAGGACCCAATTCAATTTCGCCGTAAAAAAAATGCCTATTTTTCAAAAGAATTGGTATAGATATAATAATTAGTTTATGAAATAGATATTTTTCTTCATTCATCTATTTGTTCTGTGTAGAATAATTGTATCCATGGCTCCAAAGAAAAAACTTCTTATTACTGATAAAAATAGCATCCTCACCTTTACGAGATTGCTGGCAAGTGTTCCATATGCCGGTCCGTAATTGGCCATTTTATTTACTAAAGCACCGAAAACATCAAAGAAATAATATTGACGATTATCTTCCGCTATAGTCTATGTATATAGTGTCGACACATAGACTTTCGTAAGAAATGAAAGCTACATGAGTGTTAGTACGGTTATGTGATGATTAATTTCTGTTTTTAGTATTTAATGAAAAGTACAGAGAAGAAAGCGAGGAGTGGAACAATCAACAGCTTCTTTGCCATACAAACAACATGCAACACTAGCAGACGTATGTGTTAGCAAACTCTACTGACATATAGTTTCTTCTTTCACTTGTACACACTATTTTCATCAGCACATGTATTATGACGCCAGTCAACCGTTTTGCTCTTATCTATTGTTAATAGTCCAATAATTCTGTCACATAGAACTCTGCATGGATAATGCCATCCAATACAGTATTTTTGATGCAGAAATTGCTCTAAATTATCTATGCTCTGATCAATTTTTATTCAGTAGACTAAAGAACATACGAAGGGCAGAACCATCCTGATTTTATTTTGTTTCTCTAAAATTTCTATGAAATTGCTAGCAATAGATGAATGTTTCTATATGTCAACATATAAGTTCGTCTGAAATTGTTATAAAAGTAATGCTGAAGAGGAATTCGAACTTTTCTTTCCATATTATATAACTATATATATCAAGGCTGATGCAAATTGTAGAACATGTGTCGAGTGACTCACAAAGAACTTTTCAAATTCTATTCAATGGTAACCACTGGATGGCATGATCTAGTGAAAGGAATACAATAAATAATGAATATCCATTTTACTCGATTGTTGAATCCTAAAGACATGACTTTTTAAAGTTAAGTATTATTTCTGCAAATAAGAGCTCGAGTGACAACTCACACGCTAGATACATTTCAATTATTTTTGAATCTATATGACAACTAATGGATATAAAAATTATCGATGTAAAGTATTGCATTTTTTCTTTTCTTTTCGGGGGTGTAATTTGAGAAATGTCGGAAGATTGAGAATAATTTTGTTGGTGCAATTATGAAGAAATCAATATTTTAAAACCGTATTCAGGGTTTCAATGTTTTACCAGTAATGTAATTCCACTTTGCAACAAGCAATCAAGAAAGAAAATTTATCGGATTATTAAGTCAGTGAGCATGTGGGTATACGGATGAGTGTTGTATTCAGTGCTTTAATTCATATTGCTTTCACGTGGATAATAAACACAGGCGAACTCTTTTCCTTGGAATATTCAAAAATATGGCAGCAATCGAGTTCATGCATTTAAATTAGCTTAGTCTGAAAAGAAACAACCATACAAGTCGAGCGTCCATGTGAGATGAAAGAGAAATTGTTTTTTCTTCTTCTTTTCGGATGTGCTCGAAGCTTTGTTTTGTTTTCTGCTTGTTGTCGCCTGTTGTGTCAATAAAGAAATCAGTTTTAGGCCAGTAAAAGAGTGAAACAAAAGAATAAGACATGATTTTTGAGAAATGTTGTAATTGCTTTCAGAGCGAAATCGAAACTCAGAGAATCCACCACTTAAAAACGAAGCGTACTCTTTTTGCGCATAGTTAGAGGCGCTATGCATAGAAACTCGAAAATTGTAATGTTGCATTTTGCATTTTCTCGTTAATTTCTCGCGTATTGACTCACTTTTACGTTACTTATTTTTCAGAGAGATTTTTATATAGAAGCAATAATCATACACGCGCTGTGTTTTTTTCATCAGCGAACTACACTGTAAAAAAAAAGAGTTTATGATACGTTGCACTTGCATAAACCCTTTTTTTGTTAAATATCCTATCAAAAACGATTTTTCTGTTTATTATTCTGCGCATTTTTCTTACAGTGTAGTTTCATGTCAATGGCACATATGACTGAAAGATTTATCGATGCTCATCAAGAACCTTTACAAAGACTACCATCGATCGAAGTCTACGAAATAGGACCATCAATAGTAATCGAAGAAGCTACACGAAAGCTTCAACGATCAATAAATAAAATTGGTGATATGACGTTGGCTGCAAAACGGTTTATAACTTATCTGGATAACGGCTTGACCATCGATGAAGCAACAGCGATTTTTTTGTACACTATCAAGCAAGAAAAAGTTGATCAAACTGTTTCTTTTCAACTGAACAGAGTACTTCGTAGTAGCCAACGAAACCATCTGGACTCTTGGTTATTGTATTTTCAACTCTTTTTAAGTGCTCTGAAGAAATTACCATCGACGAAAGGCACGATTTGGCGCTGTGCGCCAGGCAAAATTACTCCTGGTTACAAGTCTAATTGTGTCTGGTCTGGATTTAGCTCGTGTATAGGAACCTGGTCGGTGCTCGCACAACTCCTAGATCCTTCTTGTGACTATACTTTATTTCAAATTGAATGCATCAATGGGAAGCGGATTAAAAATTACTCCAGTCGCCCAGAGAATGATGAAGTTATATTGTTACCTGATACACACTTACAATTTTTAGGAGATAAAAAGCTGAAACATGGCTGGCATGTAGTTTATTTACAAGAAATGGATTCTCCATATCTACAATCAGCTCAGCCGGTAGAATCGCTTTTGTCTACCCATCAAACCATTCGAACAAATCAAGACTTTAATTCGAATACACCTCAACCAAATGACCAAAAAGTTCAGGCCCTCCCATATAGTAAGATAATTTTTACTTGAGAGGTGTTTCCTATTGATAAGAACATGGACACTTGCGATGGAATATCATTCAGAGATGTCAAGGATGCATAACAAAACTAACGTAAAATCTATAGTCGTAAAATTTAAGCACAGAATGATACTGGCACATATTGCACCTTCTCAGCTAATCAGAGAAAAATATTGATAGGCTAATGTTAAATATTTTACATTGGACCATCTGGTAGCACTACTACATAGTAGCTTAGACCGATTCAAATCTTAGAGTATTTGAGTTTACAGCTTTGTAAACATTCCTTGGCCACCATCAGTGCTACAACTGCTCATGTAGTCGTCAGCCTGAAAATAATCGAAAACTTCAAATCATATAAAGCATTATGACGCCACAGACGGTTCTGCAATATTCTAAAGACTGTGTTGAAATTTGAATGGCTAGAGATACATTTGTGAATGTTCTAAATGGTATAGTTCTGGGTGTCGGTGTGGATGAACTAATATCCAGTTTGCCATCGACAATTGGTAATGATGTAGGGACCATTGACAGTTATTTTATGATTCTTATAAATTTGAATAGCGTAAACTGTTCAAATGATAACTCTAGCAAGTAATTAGTGTCAATGTTTCTGAGCGTATTCAAAAAGATTTATAAATGAGGTTAGAGCTCTTATATATTCGAATTTTAATTGGTAAAAGTTCAGTCAAGCTCTAGATTTCAACCTTTTAATGAATTTAGTGACAGTTGTTTTTTATTCAAGATACCTTTTTAGTTATAAAATAATTAGCTTGTGATCATTTAATAATAGCGAACTCATGCTTCTTTTATCGTTTTGAGTGCCGGATAAAGTTTCGTATTTTATGGTATACACGAATATCTTTTTTTTTTAAATATTGACAGTTGCAGAGAAACACAATAATACACTGACTCCGACTTCAAGTCAGAAAAATAAAATAAAACAAACGATATTAGAGTAACGCCCGGTACGTAAAAGTTTCTTGTCAGAACAACCTTACAAAATGGCGGTACCTTCAGAGTTTACATCTGAAAGCAAATAAATTTTCACTCAAAACATCCAATAATATTAGCACATCAATAGTAAACATATATCAGAGGTGCTCAGGTTGATATGGACGAATAAAATATGACCAATAGATCGATAATTATTTAATTTTTTTGATTATCGTTCTCTGCTAGAAAATATAATTACATAAATCTAACGTTGAACATTGCTTTTTATGTTGGTTTAGACACATATAATTCAACGGCTATTCATCCGGCATGCCAATTTCGAACAGGTTAGCTTACAAGTTCTACGATCGACTAAAACATACTTTGTTTATTGTTGTGTCGAAAGAAACGTTTCCCGTTTAAGAAACTCTAGCTGCTCAAAAACCACATATATTCACTTTTAGAAAAACCTTGGTTCGATCTTCAGTATCATCGGAATAGTGCCAACTCAATCATGACTCCTGAACATCTTCGTAGCATATTAAAGAATCCTTCTACATATGTCGACAATCTTATATTAGGCCGTGTCCAAGGATCAATGATAGGTATGGCGTTGGGCGATGCACTCGGTGCACATGTGGAATTCCGACCGAGGCAATACATGATAGAAAACCCAGTGCGAGATCTTCAAGGTGGAGGAACTTGGGGTCTTGCAAAAGGGCAGGTATATCATGAAGTTTTTCGTATAGAATATTTGATTCTTAGTCGGCTTACGTTCAGTGATACGCAAAACAAATTTTTAAACCTTAGTCAAATTTGTTCAAAAAGATAATCTGAAAGAAATGATGTTCATCTTAAGCATAAGAGTTTTTCAACATGTCAACATATAACATGCATTTTCTATAATGAGACTGCCTCATTAATTTCAAGAGTTTATAATATAAGTGAGCAACAGTCATGATGGCACGAAAATTATTTTCATGCGATAACATCAATTTTGTTTCTCACTACTTGAAATTATCTAGATTTAATTTATGTTTGCGTAACTTCTGTTTATTGTAAAAACAGTTTTTTATGGATTTTTAAGAGGATACTACACTTTTTGAGAAATCTAGTAATATTAGAAAATTACAAACAGAGAGAGACGCAGAAAGAGAGTGAGGGACTAAGGAATATGATAATGCTACTTTTTCCTAAGATATAATACTTTTTAGTTCACAGACGATACATCCATGGCTCTTTGTTTAGCAAATTCTTTGGTATGTCGCAAAGACTTTGTCCCGTATGATCAACTAGTTCGATACAAATGGTGGTACAGGCATGGTTACATGTCCTCAACTGGACGATGTTTTGATATTGGTGCGGCCACCAGTCAGTCATTACATGAATTCGAGTATCGCCAACAGATAGTTGCTCGCAGTGATAAAATTCCAATTGATCAATTAGATTTTCTTTCAGATACTCAGATTCTCTCAAAATTTGATGTGTATTGCAGTAAAGATGGTGTTGCCGGTAATGGAGCACTCATGCGACTCGCACCTGTACCGCTCTTCTTCTACAAATACCCTGTTCAGGCAGTGGAGTTTTCTGGCGTCAGTGGCAAGATTACTCATGGTGACCAAAAAGCCTATGATGCTTGCCGCTACTATGGTGCCTTGATTGTGGCTGCTTTAAATGGAGAAACGAAAAAGCAATTGCTACATGAAGACTTTTATCTAAGACATGAAGAGTGGTTCAACAATAAAGCACTTCATCCAGAAGTTATGCGAATCGCTAAAGGATCTTATAAGATAAAAGGTGGTTACAATGGCGGCATTCGGGGCAAAGGATACATTATTAATGCTCTCGAAGCTGCTCTATGGGCGTTTTGGTCAGATGAAAACTCCTTCAAAAAAGGTGCTCTCAATGCAGTCAATCTTGGAGATGACACAGATACGACTGCTGCTATTTATGGTCAACTGGCTGGTGCCTACTACACTTGTGAAAACCTACCCGCGGAATGGATCAAACATGTCTATGCTCATGATTTTATTACGTGTTTAAGCGAATGGATTGTTTTTGAAGGACAACAGTGGAAACCAAAATCTATTTCTCAGAACATTCAACCATACCAGCCTAACTCTTACACTAATCACTTGGCTAGCTGTCCACAGGAAAATACATTGAATCCAGTGCGAAATGCTAACGAAGAAGATCCACAAACATCTCCTTTTGCGTCTGATCAGGCATTTTCTCGCAGATCACAATTGCCGCTACAATCCGAATATTACCCCAAAGAACATAACATGTATGGAACAGGTCTAGCAACTCAGACCGGTATCAATTCGAAGCCAACTGCCGCAGCGGTAAACAGTGATTATAATGATACGCAAAGATCTGGTTTCTCCTCTAAACAAGGATCAGAATATAATGCTAGTGCACTAAATGGTGAAAAAAGAAATGGTTCCCATCGTGGATTTCGCCATATACTGCGGAAACTACGGAAATAATCCAAATAAATACTAGCTAGTTTCCCGCAGTACAATGGTTTCTTTTTTTATACGTTTAGTTTCGAATATTATGACACACCCTTGTCTATTCGAAATAAATATCATGAATTGAAATAAATAGGTACAGTGTATTTGAATATAAGCGATAATGCTAAAGAGCTTTTCACAAAATTCCACCCTGATCACTGTATTTACCTAACAAATTCTTATTTTTAATATGATCGAATCTCTAAAAGTGACTTTCTCAGAATGGTCTCTCATGTACTTCGAAATAATTATGATACGTCCACACAACCTCTCCTAATTTCTGATCACTAATTCACACTAGAGTTCCTTTATAGAAATTCGAAGAAGACATTTTCACATCTGTTTCAATCTTTGTCAATCGCACCCTTGATGTATACTGAAATCAGTGGGCTGAGAGCACATGCAGTGAAAATCGAGGGGGGNTATGTGACGGCATAATGTCACCTGTATTATGTGCTGATACTAATTATGCTTCTACATATATTTTCTCAATATAATTTCTTGATTTTTATTGCCTAGCTACTACCCGCGTCTTTTACGACTGGTGTATCTTTCTTTTTTCTTCATCAGCTTGTTACTTTTCTTCTCTGTTAGTTGGTTCTATTATAATCAACTCTTTTTTTCTTCTTTTTTTTCTTCTACGTGACCCTAAAACTTCTTCTTCTGGAAGTCTTGTCAAATCGTACAACTTATCCTTGTTGTATCTACTGCTTCATTGATTAATTCTAATCTATTAAATAAATTAGTGAATTCTCATTCAAGTTTCATTTTCTTATTTACTTCATCTTGTCATTTGCCGTCATTATCGTTGTGGCATTTGTCAATACTAAAACAGTCGCGTAATCGTTAAAATAACGACGTGACACCCCCCCCCTCAGGGATGGTCTGGCCAATAGTAGCAATTTTTTCGATAACTAAGCCATTTCTTGACGGATCCTTCTCATCTTTGAGCTCGACTGAAATATTGATGAGATCATTCTGTGTACAAAATTTCAAGACAATTGGATGAGGCTTTCAAGAGTTATCGTGTTAACGGCCGGACACACTGACCGAATCTAGAGTGTACTCACTTTTTGAGTACACAAAAAAGACATTCTATGATGCCTTTGTAGGTAAAGGATACTTCTAGTTCTCTCGATGCCATCCATAAGTTTCTCAAGATTATCATAATAACGATGGTTAATTGTACAAAAAATACTTACTCATAATACCCAAGAATAAATAGAATATAAGAGGCAAAGAATTACGTATTGTTATTGAAATCTGTCGCTACGTAGTTTATAAGAAGATCTATCTTTAATGAAATACTACTAACATTTTCAATTTTCTGCATTGTGATTTTATAAGCGAGTCCTTTTTGGTTTCATGATTTGAATCTTCATATTTTTATATTACAATATTTTCATCAGATATATACATGTATATATGCCGAACTATTTTTAATGAAAACGTTGAATTCCGTTATAAATGATTATCACGAATGCAGTAACGTCAACTATTTTTTTTTAAATATTCCGCAACTTCAATAACTTTGGATAACATTGCTCTATGGATAGTTTTCTAATTTTTCTAATCAAAATATAATCCATTTGAGAATAGCATATTCTATAAGAACACATAATATTTCTTGATTTGAATATTTAAAAGACTAAAGATATACACTAATGGGTTATATATTTTTTTTCGAACATTTTTCAATAAGATCAATAACTATCAACTATCTAAGCACATCCATTAAAAGTACAATACAGATAAACGACTAGCGTTTTTTTTTTCTTCTTCATTCAAGTGTAAGTGCGCGAGCGCGGTTTTGTAACATTTGAATCGTTATGCGATGATGTTAAAGAAATCTCAGTCAGCTCAGCAATCGAATGTTGTTCATCTTCGGATGTTTTTTTCGGTAGAACACGATTATTTCGTATTGATGACGTATGTGCTAACGATGGTAAATTGTTTCCTTCGTTAATTTTCGATATTTCATTTGAACTTGACCGGTGCTTCTGTTTTTGATCAATATAATCAGCTAATGTTTTACGAAATAAAGCAATAATACTTTCAGGTGTTTGATGTTTTGTTAGTGAACGTACTTGTCGACGAAATTGATTAACGACAAATGTACAATCTTCTGGTTGGACATTACGAATAAGTTCGCCTAATTCCATTTTTAGTATATCCGGTAAATGATACGGTTCAGTTTGTATTTGTAAAACATTATTTTGTGGACTTAACCATGAATAATCAACTGATGATCGTCGCGCCGATGACGACGATGCATATGTTGATGCAAGATAGCCACCTGAAAGTTCCAATACTTCGGAATTTCGTTTGGTTTTTGATGCTAAGGAAATTGAGCAATTTCGGCATTCGGTTTCGAGTTCATCGAGTAATGTTTCAGCAGTCGAGTTTTCATCCATACAAGCGTAGTTAGCTGCTGGTGTTTCAACTAAACATGAATGACGTCGAAATAAATTAGTGAATGCCATGATATTGGATCGATGTCAAACGAATTAATAATTAAAATGTTAGTTGCTACCGTTGATTTTATGTGTTGAAAATAAGCTTCTGTGTTAAAAGAAGAATCTCTATACTTCTCTTTGTGTCTTCCATGTTGATGGTTGAGCTTGTGACGAAGTAGAAAGCAAAAAAGATTGAAGAGTAATGCGAACAGACACAAGTAAAGCTTCTTTACGCAGCTATTTTTTTTACATTTCTTTTGCATTCAAAGACAAGATCCTACGGAAAAAAAATGTCAAGATAATTCCACTGACGATGACTGAGCGTAGTTGGCGGCATTAAAAAAAGAGAAGAAAAAATGTTCCTTTTTTCAATGGCGAAGTTCAACCATTTCCGTTATCACGTTAAAGATAATAATCAGCAATTTCTTTTTGCTTCTTTGCTTTTGCATTAGTATATCTAAAGAAATAAGCTCCTACTCCATTTCAACTATATCGATACTATCAGCGTCATTTGTTCAATACAAAAACCAAAAAGCTAATCAATAAAAATAACTTGGATACGCTGTAAAACTAATGTATCTGTCAGTTACTTACTTTCCGGCCGACTTACAACGCAGTATAATTATTAACTTTTCATCGAACAATATGCTGAATACTCATATTCATCATGCCGTAGGCTTTTTATGTGCTATTTTTAATTTCACCTAAGCAAAAAGTACTGATATTTATATCCATCTACTTAATATTACTATTTTTATCTTCAAATTGAACTTCGTTGTTTTTGCTGTAAAAGGATTTATACTGTGAACAATTTTCTTTGCTAATAAGGAGTAACACAAGAAGATACTTTTAGATTTTCAATTACAAAGTCTAAATATCATGCATTGACAATAATTGAGTGTCATATTCAGTTCGTAACTTTGACATAAGCTGAAAATAAAAATTTTGATTTTAATTATAATATCTCCATAGAAACTCTCACACATGAGAATGCTATATTAAATTGAAATGCGATAATAGAAAATATTCATAAAAGCTTTTAGCAGAAACCTATTGAATTCGATATGAAGTTATATTCTGATATAAATAAACATGCAAAGATGGAGCCGGTAGGCATACTATATATAACTTTCTATTTTTTTCTTCGTAATTCGAGATTCGCCATATGTTCTTCAGATGGTCCATTGTAAGCAGCCACATTCCCTAATTGCCCACAAAAGCTAAACGAATGAGTAGGAAAATTGAATTTAGTATTATATGCTGCTCATTGTGAATAATTCTGTTATACTGTTGATCAGAATAAAAGACTATAAATACAAAATTTATATGATCAACAATTCAATGAATTGAAACAAACAGATTTTAAATAATAATCATTTCTGTGGATTCAGATGTATCCGAATAGAAATATTCATCTGTTTATGTTGGTATAAACTGGAGAGCTAATATAATTTTTGAATCTTAAATATGATCCTAACGTAGGAGGAAGTGTTCAAAGTATCTCATTCGGATTAAAAACCAGGTGAGAATAAATGTTAAAATGAGACTATCAGTCAAATGTAACGATTTATAATTTGAATTAAAATATTTAACAAAAAAAACATCAATCCTTTCACTAGATTATCGATAGTCTTTGTGAAGTAATTTCTTATTCTTCATAAAAATTCGCAATCATCTCACTGTCTGTTTTTTCTTGTTCTTTTGAAAACATTAATCTCTATTGTTCTATTTAAATAGAAGTAAAGTGTCCTGTCTAAATATGTATATACTATACTTAAACTAAGAGCCATATGTAGGTGTTAACAGGAAATTGATCTGATCAACTGATGATAGTGAACCAAATACAATGATTGTCTTTTTTCGTTGATCGATGTGTCAATATATTGATTGAGAATGGATCAACACGAGAATAAGAAAAAGAAAATTTTCTCTTTCCATAATTGATAATTGATTAGCCAGCTTTCCTACAGGTAAATATTGACATACCCTTATTTTGTTCGAATGAACATTCAAATACAGGTGTGAAATAATTTATTTCTCAGGAAAAAATACAACCTCATATTATGTTTTTTCTAAAAATTCTGCTTCATCAGTGATGATGATGATGATGATGATTATCAAAAGTGGATGGAGTAGTACTTCATCATCAGTTAGTTAAACAAACCGACAACAAACTTATCCTTTGATCATGGCCGACAGAAGCACAACGATATAGTCAATCGGATTAAAAAATATTTGCGAACGCAAGCAACAAAAGAACATTCCATTCTAATGTATTCTTCTTATGATATTTGACCATGATATGTATATAAAGAGAGATGTTATCTTTCAATATTACAGAGATCAACTGTCATAGATCAAAAATGGAAAGGTGTGAGTTACTCAGCATGAATATCTTGATTATTTCTGTTAATTTACATCTTCAAGGGATATCATTGATTTCTTGTTCTTGTAGCCGGATAAAATATGTGTGATTTTTCTTCAATCAATGAACATCTCAGCGTTATTCGACATGGAAATAAACGATAATTTCCATCAAGAGAACGACAATATTTTAAGTAAAGAAGTTTCCGTAATAATATTTTTTTCTCCTCTTCCCTTTGATTGACAAGAAAAAAAGAAATTTGATACTCAACGGGGATTGCAATATGACGTAAGCATAACCAAAAGATAAACTTCTATTAATCGTTACATTCAGTAATCGATGTTTGAAGCCCTATCGATAGTTACTCTGTCTCATTCCAAGAATAACAAAACAAAACACTATGTATGCTTTCTTTTTTCTTCTCTCTCTCTCTCTCTCTCTCTCTCACACACATACATACACATCGATTAGATCCGATTTCGAGTCATCATCACGCAATTCGTCCTTTAACACGAAAGGCACATCTCATATTTCAAGTTTGTATATACACAAAGCACTTAGAAATTAAATATTTACATATCGTGCTAAACAAAAGAAAAAACGATTAGTCATTTTCATATTATGTTTTTTCTATCTGATCCCATTGAAAATACAAAGACAAAAAAAAAGAGAAAAAAGAAAAAAGAAAGAAGAAAATGTATTTTAAAGTGAATGATAATCTTTAAACATTCCTCCAGAATCAATAATATCTGTTGTTGTTGGTTTCATATGATGATGGTGATAATGATACTGTTGATTGTTGTAATCAACTTGAAAACCTTTCGTCGTTGGTTCACTGCCTGTTGATCCAAGATCATCTAATGAATTATCATCATTATGTGAAGGGCTCATATCGATTGTTTTTCTACAAAAACCGAAGGAAATTTTTATTAATTTTAAATTCACTCATAATAACAACCAACCTATCATTTGTTTCCGATGCTCGGTCTCGTTGTCGTCGATTTTTAAACCAATTTGATACTTGTGTTGTTGTTAGAGTAGTTGCTTCAGCTAATTCACGTTTTTCTCTTGGAGATGGATATGGATTATGTAAATACCAGTCGCGTAAAATATTACGTGACTTTTCTTTAAAACAATAACTTGTTTCTTCACCATCCCATATTGTTCGTGGCAAAGGAAATTTTCGTCGAACACGATATTTTCCAACAGCACCGAGCGGTCTACCACGTAGTTTTTCAGCTTCATTGTAATGCGCTTGTAACCATAATTGTTGCAACTGCGGATGACTACATGGTGCGAATTGATAGCGTTCAAGTATATTGTAGAGTTCACGATAGTTTCCACGACGAAATGCAACAACTGCCTTAGCTTTTACAACGCTTTCATGATTATGAAAATGTTCGTATGTTGGTAATGTCCATAAAAAATCACCTGCAGAAGAAGAAAAAAAGAAGTAGAGTTGTTGTTGTTGTTGTTTTTCTTCTTCTTATTTAAGATATTTGTTAAATATTTATATTGTAAAAGTCTTACCGAGCCGTTGGATATCATTACTTTGCTGAAGTACTTCGCATACACAGGCAACTTGTTCGGATGTAAAAATGCTACCTATTATATTGCTTGTTGATGGTGTATTGATGTTAGTGAAACCACCACCAATCGTTGTTATTGGTATCGGATTGCTTTCAAGCATTAGAAAAGAACTAGAGAGAAAAAAAGAAGATTTTGTTTCTTTTTGTTAATAGTAACAGACATCAATCGATCGATTGATTGAAGAGGCGATGCATGATAAAGAGAAAGAACAAATGATTAACTCTTTTCTCTGTCTCTCTCTCTCTCTCTCTCTCTCTTCCCTTCTCTCTCACTTACTCACTCTATCTTAACTTGCTCGCTGGTTTACGATTTCAAATCAAACGCAGACAAAAAAAGCAATTTTCAATAAAACGAACTTGAAATAGTATAGACTAATCCTTGACTAGGGTGGGTATAATCGTATCCAATAGAAGGCAGATCAAGTTTTAATCGTATTACAACAAAAACACACATACTCAACTGTTTTCTTCTGTTGTCTCGGTTCGATAATATATTTTTTGTTTGACACGTCAAAGTTTTTTCTTTCCCTAACGAGAAAATTATGAAGAATAAATGTTGAACGATAGGCGACAGAAATCTATGAGTGACAAATGTGAACCAATCCGTATTGAGAGAGCGTAAAAAAAGAAGAAAAAGAAATTTTTTCTTTCTTTTTTTTTGTATGTTGATAATCATTGTACTCTGTATTTTTCTGATCGACATAAGAAGTAAAAGAACAAGTGGATGCATCTACTCTACGATTATATGTGCTACTATTTCTATATATTTCTTCTTTTCTCCCTAGTGATTTCCTTGATATCTATGTGCACAGGCTATGTACGAAGATAATTGACAGTAAACAGCTGCGTTCTATGTGTATACACACACACACACATATATACATATATACGTATACATAAATATATAAAGAACAGGTTCTTGTCTATCATGATCGAGTCAGTGCCGATGTGCGCGGTTCATGATGGCATCATTTTCTGAGAACACATATATATTTATATGTATGTGTGTATATACGACGACGACATTCTCTCTTTTCACACATTTATTTTGAAAAGGGGCATGACTTGAATGTTCTCAAATTTCAAAAAAGCAAATTTGTCTTCTTTTTTCTTCTATTCGCGACAGCTGTTCGACAAATGGCAGAACTAGAGATGCTTGTCGTTGTCATGTCCGTATTCCCATTCGATCAAGATGAGACAAACATTAAAATCATACAATGACATGCGTGATTGGTGACAAGATTTTTTTCTTTTCTCTCTCGTAGGAGAAAAAAAGAAATGCATCGATTCACAAGCGGTGTAATGGTCGAATATTGAAGTGTAATATTCCTATTTGATGATGATGACGAAGGGAAAAAACATTTACGTTGAAACCCAGTGACAAAAATCTCCATGTTTTGCAGTTAATGGATATAAAATATTCTAAATTTCGCTTTGATTCCTAAAAACATGACGGATTGGTTGGCAAGCGTTTTTTTAATATCCCCACTATTGATTAACAACCGAAAACCTTTTCTTTTCGCTTATATTTTTCAGTTTGCAACTATCTATTTCTATTGAAACATGATTATCAACTAGGAGAGAGAATGCTTACTTCCGAGATGGGATAAAAGTGGTCGAAGTCAAAAATAAGTATTCTTTGTTTTGTATACAAAGAAAAAAGGAAATAAGTCAATAATACGATACTGATATGTTGATAAAATAAATCGATTTATTTACAAAGAAAATATTTCGCTTGCGATGTGAATAACATTGAAGAATCTCTTCCGATTCGCTAATTGCTAAATATGCAAGCCTGATTAGTTTTTCTCAAGTGTTGTGAGCTTTTGTGATAGTTTTGTATACATAAAACTGTGCAAGAATTTCTTGGAAACACTGGTTGAAAATAAAGTTCGCTGGCTGGATTTCATTTCTATTCGACTACGACTCTATTGCGAGTTCTTCTACTAGAGAATGTTTATATTTCGCCTGTTATCTGAATTCAATGATATAAATTTTAATATGCTGATAGTGTTTTTAAATAAATTTACAAATAAACGATCCCATAAATCGATTAGTATTACCAAATGCTGTAACAAGAGATAATTTAAAGGTAAAGATAAGAGAACATAGCTCATCACTTCGATTAACTCTCATTCTTACTCATTTTTCGTGATACAAAATGTTAGTTTTAGATTAAATAGTAACGGATATAAGCCTATAAGACTAATCCAATACATGATCATGATCAGCTTGAAATTTTTTTTATAGTAAAACTGCACATGACTATATCCACTATTTAAATTAGCTAGGCATATTTTTACATGATAGAGTTCAAAATTTACAATGAGATTGAAATCGAAACTAAAATTGTATTTGCAAGAGTTTTTTACACAAAACAATAATACACAAGTGGGGGTAGGGAAGGTTGAATATATGGCGGTAAAACATCGGAATCCACTTTTTTCTCGCTTGATGAAACTTTAGCGGAGTTTTTGTTGATGAAAATTTTCAATTGTTACCTGTTTTTATATGGATTTGTTGTCGTTTGATTCATCACATGACACAAGAAATAGTTCCATTGCCCGGTGGTTCTATCCATTTTATTTTTATTTTTATTTTCTGACAAAAACTACTCGTCTGGTACAAAATAATGGAAAAAAATCACAACTACCCATCCTACACTGGCATATTTCAACAAGAACAATTAATTATGGCGATTAATTTGCACTTGTTGCATTGGTTTCAGGCTGTTAGAAATCTAAAACAAAACAAAAAGCAATTATTGACATTATCATTTAAACATTATTCATATTTACATTAATGGCACAACCGGTACATTTCACAATATCTTCTACTGAAAACTCATCAGCAATTTCCGTCAGTGTCAAACCTTTTTCTGGATCAACTTCAAAGACACATTTTTCTGTGATAATCAGATCGACAACTCCTTTGCCTGTCAATGGTAATGTGCATGATTCAAAAAATTTCGATGAACCATCCTATGCCAACAGAAAATAATAAGAGCATGAGAGATAGAAGTGTTCTTTACTTTGGCATTGTGTTCCATTGTCACAACAACTTTAGTTCGACCACTACCAACTAAATCCATAGCACCGCCCATACCTTTAATTAATTTGCCTGGAATCATCCAATTAGCCACATCACCATAACGTGAGACTTGCATAGCACCAAGTATAGTTAAATCAATATGGCCACCACGAATCATAGCAAACGAATCATCGCTCGAGAAAAAGGATGCTCCAGGAAGAACAGTGACAGTTTCTTTGCCAGCATTGATTAGATCTGGATCTTCTTCACCTTCATATGGAAATGGGCCCTAGAAATAGAAGAGAATATGTATTTTTTTGTCAAAAAACAACATGTTTAAGGTCCTAGCAGCACGTTATTTTTAACATTCCATATTAATAGAGGAGAAAATTTGTTTACAAATCCCATTGATTACTTAGAACTGGCAATTACTTAAAACACAGATATTTTATGCTACGCTCAATTTTGTTTTAATTTTTAGCACAACGTGGCCTAGAATACAACTGCACAAGGCTACATAAAATATTGTCACAATTTATTTAGACTGAAGCAGAACGTTGGTGTATAAGGTTAGACCTTCAGACACACTTGTCTCTTGCACAAACTGTGATAGACATTATTGATCTTTCAATTATTTCCTGATTACATTACTGACGGATTCAATGAAGGAACATATTGAGAAAGTACGTGTCGAGATAGGAACGATTTCGCACGAATAGTACTCACAACGTTCCATAGCTTTAATACGTGATTTTCTAAAATCTTAAAAGTTTTCTGCTATAAAAACTTCAGTATTCTCGATATCGTTCATTCAAACAAACAAACTTACCAAACCTAAAATTCCATTTTCACTTTGCAGATGTACTGTTAAACCATCTGGAATATAATTTGAAGCCAACATTGGTATTCCTAATTAGGAACAGACACAGTTGTATTTTAAATCTAATTTTCTTATTATTGTCTTTACCTATGCCTAAATTCGCATACATTCCATCGGTAAATTCTAAAGCTGCTCGTCGAATAATACGTTCTCGAGAAGTGTCGTCTTTCTTCTTTTTCGATGGTGCTGCAGATGATGTAGTTGCTGTTGGATTACGTTTACGTACAGTTCGACGCTATGTAAACAATCAAATCATCAGTTACTTTGTTTTTCTTCTTCTCGTTCTGATGAATATATATTTAATTACCTCAATACGCTTTTCATGCTTATCGCCTACAATAATACGATGCACAAATATATTTGGTATATGAATTTCGTCAGGTTTCAAATCTCCAACTTCAACGATTTCTTCAACTTCAGCAATTGTACATCGTGCGGCTTTGCACATGGTTGAATTGAAATTTCGAGCAGATTTTCTAAAATAATTTTTTAATAAGAAAATTAGAAAAAGATAAATTTGTTCTAAGGCTTACTGAAAGATAAGATTTCCAAGACGATCTGCTTTCCAAGCTTTTACAAGAGCGAAATCGCCAACAATAGCATCTTCTAAAACGTATGGTCGACCATTATAAAGTCGAGTCTATTTACAGAAAAAGATAAAGATTCAATCAAAGGAAGGTATTTGTTTTTGCATACCTCTTTCATTGGACTTTCAATAATTGGTCGTTTAGTATTTTTATCATATTTTATTGGTGCACCACCTTGTTGAATTAGTGTACCGAAACCAGTTGGTGTAAAAAAAGCTGGAATACCAGCACCACCAGCTCGGATTTTTTCTGCTAGAGTTCCCTATAGAATTTCAATATTTATTTGAAGAAAAAATTAAGATTCGAATGTTATACTTGTGGCGTAAGTTCAACCTCGAGCTCACCGTCTACATACAAACGAGTGAACCAATCATGAATTAGAAATATCAATGAAAATAAAAACATACTTAAGTATTGTCGTTCGAATTCTGCATTTTCACCAACGTATGAAGAAATCATACGTTTAATCTTTATAAAGATAACGATAATATTAGGAGAAAAATGATTTTCTTTTCGTCAATATTTAACCTGTTTAGTTTTTAATAGTAAACCAAGACCAAAATCATCAACACCACAGTTATTTGATACAATTATTAGATCTTTTTGTCCATTTTTAAGTAAACCTTTAATTAAACTTTCAGGAATACCACATAATCCAAAACCTTAACCAATAGGAAAATACTATCTTGGAAAAATATCAAAATCAATAGAATAATACCTCCTACGAGTAATTTTGCTCCATGTGGAATATCTTCTACAATTTCATTAAAATCAGTATAAAATTTTTTTGTTGATTTGCTTGTCGATAGACTACGTAAGTAAAGCTAGACCGAGAAAAACAAAGCAATTATTAAAATTATTCTCTTTTACTTGATTATACCTGACTGAATGCAGACCGAACCAAAGGACGAGTTGCTCGAGATAACATAGTTCGATCTCAAAACAAGAAAATAAAACACATAAAGAAGAATACTTGTTTTTTTTATTGGCACTTATTTTTGTTTTTATTTTTATTTTTATTTTGAGTTTACAGTAAGTCCGACAAAGAAAAATAATTTTCGAATGGAATCACATTGTGTAAAATAATAAATAAAAGGTTGAATAGTGAGACAAGTAAAAATGGTACGGAATGTGTAAAATAAAAGTAAACGAAAAAAGAAAAAGAAACAAAAAAAAGAAAGGAATATTTATTATGATATGAATCTAATTAAATCACTGTTTTTAGTAAAAATGATCGACCAATACGAAGTAAAAATTCTCGTAATATATACCTTAATTCAGGTTTCAAATCAAATACAACTATTTCAGAGATAAGTGGATAGATTTCAATCGAATAGTATTTAAACTATTGTAAAAGAAAAATTAATGTAATTTAAAAGAAAATCGAGTGAAAAACATACTTGTTCTTCATCGAGTTTTAATAATTTTGTTAATAGAAGCATAAGAACATTTGTCCATGCTTCACGATGATTTTCCGATTGTAATGCTAAATAATATTCCAAACTATCACGAGTTAATCTAAACAAATAGACGCAGAAATTTAGAATTTCTTTTTTACATAGAAAAAGCAATGACCGTATCGACCAAATATTTTCTAGACATTAAAGGGGTAAGCATTGATGTCCCCTTTCTATTTCTTTTTTCGTTCTATGCGTAAACACAGTCGTCTTGTGGTGTAGCTACTACGTGCAACTACATATAACCTTTCTATTGGAGTAAACAATTGTTTGTGAGCGCACGTTGTATTTTTTAATGGAATACAGTAGAAAAATACTTTTACACATGATTTACTAGCACTAAAAATTTATATCCAATTCGCTCTTCTAGAAAAGAGGCTTCAAGGATCAATTTATTAACGTAAAAACAGAAGTAAATATCCATTATGATATTGGCTATGAATGAAATGTGTCTTTCGGGTACAAATTTGTCGGTCACACTATGTGAGGTCAAACTTCACATAAGAACATAGTCAATTTGCAAAATGATCATTTTGAGACTCCGAATATCTACTATTAGAAATTCTGTACTAATATAAGGAGAAAATTGAATGAATTTCTCGGGCGACGATCCCAATACAAACGATCTGCCCTCCAAACAGCACCCAGTATTTCATCTAGATTTATCGAGTATTCGAAAACATCTCGGACGTTCTCTACTACCGATCACACATACCTTGTCTATATCATTGCGATTCTATTATAATATTAAAATGCATAGATAACATTTATCCAGTTATATACTAACGCCCCTTGAGTACATGTGTGCAACAGCACAAAGAACCAATAAAAAATTTTCACGAAACACAGAAAATCCTCTACGAAAACATATTGTTGATTTTCTTCATAATCATAAATGATCGAACTTTTGTTTCTATTACTTTATGCCCTCTCTATCTCTATTCTAACGGTGGTAAATAAATCATAGCGTATTGGAAAAGATAAATATTGTCGCTAAAATCTACTAATAATAGAAGATATACTCAGTTTGCTTGTAGCGATATCTACTATCACGATCATATTATCTTACAACTGTATCGAAACTACCAAAAAAGAATATTTTCAATACTAACTTGAGTATTCGTTTTTTGAGTAAATCATTTGAATCGATATATTTTGTATCACTGTATAAACGAAAAAGAATACGGAATGCACACGCAATACTATTTGTTTCTTGTATTAATAAATTTGGTTTGATTTTGCCTCGATATCCTTTAAATGAAAACAAAAGTACAATAGAGGCTTTCTTTTTCTCTGCCATTCATTTTTCGTTTTACCAGCTTTCCATAAAAGATTTCTTTGTTCATTATTAGAATTAAATGCTCGTGCAAACATATGTGATTCGAGTAAACAATCAACAAGCAAAATTAATTGATCAAAACTCATATGTTTGTACATCCCATGTTCATTATGTAAATCATCAAGCGATGTAATATAAGATAAATTTTCTTGTCCAACGGGTGTACTTGCTAATGCCTTAAAAAGAAAAATATTCCAGTAGAAAAAAATAAATATTAGAACCCCAATAGATAAGAGCAAAACAAATTCAGCATGCAGTTTTTTTTAAATAGATAAATTTCTTATCAATACCTCGGATTCAACTGAAGCAGAATTCTAAGGGCAATAGGTTAGTAAGAGAATGTGAATTATTAATAAATTATAAAATGTATATATACTTACATGTGCTATAGAAATATATTGTAAATCTTCTTTTTTACTTGAAGAAGGATAAAAAATAATATTATCAACTGTTTGAATTAGTTCTATTTGTACAATAGATTTTATTGATAAAATTTGAAATTGCATAAGATCTGAATTCGTTTCTATGATGGAAAACAGAAAGAATTTGAATTAGAAACTATGAGAATTTCATTGCTTTTACTTGTTCGTTCGCTATGGCGATTATTAAAATGTGGTTCTTGTTGATCTGATGTAGCACTATTTACACTACTGCTACTACCTGCTCGTGTCATACGATGATGTTGACTGGCAGCTGACTCGACTATTGACTGATCAAATGAACTATCGGTACGATCGAGTATCTAACATATGCACGAAAAAGAAATACTAGAAATCTTTTATTCTACGAATGGCAATAGCTTACAGCAGATTCGCTGATTGTTAACATTCCTGATGATTCAGAATCAGGTCGCCATGTTAAAAGCCTAGAATTAGAACAAACTTTAAATTAGTAACATAATATGTAGAAAGATTCATCGGGCTGCAATCAGAATTTTCAATTTAAGGAGAAAATTTCAGTAAATTCCATTGAAAATACGGCAGTCAAAAGTCGGATAGACGTTTCTATTCGAACTTGAAAAGAAGTCATATTCCTGATGAGTAGTGCAGCAATTATTTACGGCTGTCTGAAGCTATACGAACATAAATATTTTCAATCGATTTAATCTCTTGGGTTAGATCTATCATTAGCAAACATGAAATAACTGATTCGATTTAGTAACTTACGTTTGGGGTAGCGTTGAATGAAACACTCCTAATATACAAGTACATAATTTTTCCCATATCTTCGGAGTAAAATGTTGACCGCAAGCAATAACAAAATTTTCTAGGCAATTCGTTCCTGATCTTGCCAATTGTTCATTATCTATAAATATCAATAAGATGAATTGTGTTTTTTCAACATAAATATTTTACTTTGATTAATACACCATTTCAATTGAGCATATAAATCTTTAACAACCGATTCAGGTATAACATCGTAGTACTGTGTGAATACATCAACAATAGCATAGAGTGCATGATTACAAGTTGTTGTCATCCATTCAATTTTCTATTGGCAGATTAAATTCAATGATAATCCGAAGAAGAAAAGAAGAAATTTCGGATATACCTCTACTTGTGTATCAGGCAGTTTCATATTATCGAAAATACGAAAAACAACATTGAATAAATCAATCCACCAATTCTGAGTAAAACTTTCACCATAACTTTTCATTATTTCAAACATGACGGTTAATGCCCTGGAAAATAAAATCAATATGCAATCAAGATTTTTTTCCTCATTGATCGAATTCAAAACTCTTTTTTCTTTTTATTACTATTTAAACATTGAAATGTTAATTCCCTTAGAATTTTAAGTTGAAAAATTCCCAAGCTTAAATTGTTTAGAATAACGTTACCTTGTTCTCACATCAAGTTTACACCGATTAATAATACATGATAATTCAAAGAGAATAGGAAACCATCCTTTAACCCAAATACGATCTTCTTCGGGTACATTGATTAGATCTTCTCCAGCATGTTCACGAAAAATCTATAAAAGTTAAGTTTTAGTTTTTGAAAGCTAAATTTAAAAAAATATTACTTGTGGTTTTTCAGCCACATATTTCGCACATTGCCTAATTAATCGTATGGCTTCCATGGATGTATCAGTAAACGAGACATTGCAAGCAAATTCTGATAAACATTTAACAGCATCTTGAAAACTGTCCAATATTGATGCAAAATAACGATCAAAAACCACATCTATTGTAATAGAAAACACGAAAAAAGCCTGGTAGTACAATCTTTTTCGAAATAAAATGTAAATGTCGAACACTCACATGATCCTCAATCTCAAGCAGATTATAGCTACCTAATAAGGACCAATATAATCATATTACCTCGTCTCATATTCCACGGCGAGTAAAAATTCAATGGCAGAGATTATTTCCCAGATTTATAAATGAGCCCTATGAAAATCACTGCATATCTTGAGAATACTTATTTCGAAGTCTTTCCCGTTGTTATGGATCTCTTAGATAGATAACTAACGTTCGCAATTGTAAGGAAAATTTCTAAGCTCGTTAAATAGAAAATTCGAATTAAATAGCATACCAACAATAAGTGTACATGTTTGAAAAGCTAATTCAACAATTTGCACATCTGTATCTGTAGCAGCCATTTGAAAAACACTAAATATATTTTTCCAACCAGACCGAATATTTTTTGCTTGTGCATCAACAAAATGTGTTATGCAACGAACAACCATATCACGCATAGTTGGTGATCTATTCAAAATAAGAGTAACTATATGCGAAAAAATACAATAAAATGAAATAAACACGTACGAATTTTTTTTCATGATCAATTCAAATGGTTTAAGAAATTCTTTTTGAAAGCGAAAATTCGGAAATTCGCCTTTTTCAAGAAATTTCATCGATAACTGTCGTAAAGAATCAACTGCAAAAAATGATACGTCTTGCAATGGATGACAAGCAGCCTATATGAATAAAAATCGAGTAAAGTAATGTTGATCAACAATATGTAACAAACTTTATTAAAATGGTCACCAACAATTTCCCATATTCTTGACCATGTAAGTCGAATACGTCCCATATTATAATAGGATATTTCAACAACTTTTAATAAACTAAACATTCGAGGTGGAGTTGAATATAATTCATCCATGGATACATGACATAGACTACGAACGAATGCCACTGAGCAAATAAAGAATGAGAATATTGAAACAAAGCAAAACAAATTTTCCTTACCAATTGCATCGCCATCCAACCGTGCTGATCCAGCAAAAATACGATCAACAGAAACAACTATATTCTGTGAGCTTGTTTCATGAATTTGACCATGAATGGTTTGTAGTCGTCTATTTGATGAGCCTGTTTAAAAGAAATTTTAAATGCTTATCGACTAACACGATATCTTTTATTCTGAGAGTGTTAGTCTTCATACGCCCTATCTGAATGTGAGTCTTCAAATGGACTGGTAAATACCAGTAATAATTAGCTTAAAGCGAATATCTTGTGTGAGTTTAGTCTATTGATAACTAGATAATACGATGTTTGGTCGTGAGCATAAAGCTCTAAATTACAGCTAGGGGTGGACCATTTTTTTAACGGAACTTAATTAATGGCATTAATTAATGACTTATATTAGCCAGTAATCTTAATGATTAATGAAAAAAATTAGTATTAATTTTAAAATTAATGTTTTCATTAATCATTAATATTAATGTTTTCATGAAAACATTAACCATTAATATTAAGTCATTAATTTTAATGAAAACATTGATACGAATATTAATGGTTAATGAGAAACATTAACATTAATATTAAATTAATGTTAATGGCCCACCCCTAATTACAGCTATACAATGCAAAATGGATATATGCAGTGATATAAGATTTCAGAACATTAAAAACTCCTTTATAGGTTCAAAGAATATTTTACTATCAAATCAATAATGATATCAAATGAAAATGTATTCTAGGAAACGTTATCTTTCCATTTATTTTTCAAATTCGAATCCTACGAAAAGCTGATACTTTCAAACCTAAAGAATTTAGCCGTTTCTTAGACTCCTCATATCGGGAAAAATAGTCATGAATATTTTCTACAATATGTTTTGTGAGAGAGTAAATAGATAAAAACTGTACGATTCTAAGCTTTAACATACCTTTGTCAGTATTGAAAATATTATCAAATGGTAAACTGAATGTTGAAGGTGAACCGATATGCGTTGGTATACCCAGTTGATGATGATTTGAAACCGACATTTTTCCTTTATTAACATTAACACCAAATAATTGCGCTAATTCCAATTGACTAATACATTTTAAAACCTAATAGAACGAAATTTATAACGAGCTGATTGAAATTTTCGTATACTTACATCATACCAAGCTTCACCAAGATAATTTCCATCGGTTTGTGCAACTGATATTAGTATTTTGAGGCATTCAACATTTTTTGCTTTGATTTCTATGACTTGTGATGTTGCCATGAGTAATGTAAAACGTGATAATGCTTGAATAAATGCATTACGTTCAAGCTAAATTTTTAGACGAGAACAAATCTATTTATACAAATTTAAATCTATCCTAATAGTCAAACCTCCATATGAAAGATGCAAGCTATACGAATAGCATAGCTAATACCAATTAAACATAGATTTGTAAGATCTATATGATCACTATCTTGAAGATTAACACTAAATGCCGCTAAACATGGTGACCAGGCTTTCTAAACAAAATTCATTAACTTTAATTCACGAACAAACTAGTAAGTCTATTCACTTGAAACATAGGTCCAACATGTTCTAAATTTTTTGCTATAGTAAACTCTTCACTCATGGAGCCTGCACTAGTCATTAAATCTCGTGCTATGGACTCGACGTTTCCCATTTGAACAGTAAATAATAATTCTCGTTGTTTATCATTTGTAATAGTTTCTTTTGTTCCCCGTTTCATTGACGTAACTTTAAGTTTGATTTCTTCGTTTTTAATTTCATCATAGATTTTCGATAGAAATTCTTCTGGTAAATCACGACTGTCATTAATGCCACGATTCATTTTTATATACTGTTCTTTTGTAATTTTTTTCTTCACCTAAAGTATTTTAGAGAATTGTTTTTTTGTTATATTCATTGAGCTATTTACTTACATTAATACTATGTAAATCTGTTGTCAGCATTATAACGGAATACGCCAGAACATAGGCTGCATCAGCACTGGCGAATATTTGTAAACTAAAAAAATATTATCATACGGAAAAGTTAGATAATTCAAATTTGTCTCATCTGTCATTATCGATGTGAAGAGAATTTCGAATCATTTTATACTAAAAGGCTTAGTTATTATTTTAAAACATTAAATTATGTATTACACTCTTGAAGAAAGTTTTTCGAAGGCAGCATTTTGAAAGAAAAATTTCTAGCCTCTAATCTTTCATCGCTTTGAAATTTTCTAAGATACACCTGTTTAAACAATCACTGTAATCAACTATGGTTTTCTATTTCAATCGTAAATCGCTAAACTACTTTTACTTCGAAAGTAATGCATGTTTAATCTAGCTAAAACAGAGCGATGCATTCTATCTATGTTTCAATAGACCTACCCTTGATTTAAAACATATTCTCCTAATATTATTCAGTTTGAAAGAAATAATAACAAAAAAATCTTTTTCTTTCTCCTTACTTTGAATTACATTCACAAAATCTTCCAGCAAATTTTTCCATTAATCTATCAATTTTTTGCGCTTCGCCAGGTAATCGAAATCCTGCTAAAAATCTTCTTAAAGCCGTTAAAAAATCCATTTGTATGAAATCCATTTGATCAATATACGCATACATAATTTGCTTATGACGTTTATCCTCTTCACCGAGACAATCCCCAATCACTGTTTTATCTAACACATCTTGATACGAATGAAAAAATTGCGCAATATCTTCCGGTTCATTATTCAAAAGATTCTTATCAATGAGAAATTCTAAGCCTTTTTTAGCACTTTGATTAAATAAATCAATGCCTTTTTCGAATAATTCTTTACGTTGACGAACTAATTCAAAATCATGAACATGTTCTGCTGATTGCGAGGAATTTATTGAAGCACTTGAATCCGTACGACGAATTCCACTACCGACATAACCTGACGATGATCGATTACTATCTTGATCGTGACCATTTTCATTTACTGGTTTTGTATCTGGTCCTAAGAAAAGATTCGAAAATGCCAGTGAAAACTGAAAAATAAAAACAAACCTAAATTGCTTTGTAGATGTGGATTGACATACAGATCTTTACTCCAATCAGCCATACATCGTAATATTGAGACAAGACATTCGAGGCCTTTCATTCGTAAATTATGCTCTTCTACTTGACTGCAACCTATTTAGCAAAACAAAAATAATTCTGATCGATCTGTTTGATATTGACTGAAAGTCAAAAAAACATATTCGGATCTGAATTGCTGCCATAACGGATGATTAGTAGAGCGTAAATAGGATGGGATATTACGCCCATAAACGATTGTTCCTTGTTATCAGTGATTATAAACTAACGGAGAGTTACTTTTAACTCGTGGTTTTAAAATTATACTTGAGTTTTTATTCCTGTTTAATGAATATTTAGTGTATTTCTATATGATAGTTCCACTAGATAGAACAATTTGAAAGGAAAATATTTTGAACATTATAGGATAGATATAATTTTTCATACATAAATCATTTGTGTAAATAGAAAAATAACAATATCTGCTAAGGCATATCAACCGCCAAAGTTGTCTTTCCCTATCTGATTAAATCGAATAGTTGATTGGATCAATCTCCGTTTAGTTGTCTCGGAGATTATGCTGCTTTACTTGTCACGCAATAGTTTATTGCGACAGTGCATAATCAATTTGGTTATTTCGTAAACAAAATAATTGTAATTGCTAAGCTGCATATACCCACAAAAAGTCATTTTTCATTTTTTTTTAATCTAAGAATAGGCTTTTCTTTCTCGAATATATCCATACCTAATTCTACGGCTTGTCGACCTTGTGCTGCACGTGAAAGAACAATTACAAGACGTTCGAATACATTTCCAGATCGCATTGAGCAATCATAATTAATAAATAAATCAACAATTATTTGAGCATCTATGCAACAAGAAAAAAAAAACATCATTCGACACTAGAAAAATTTGAATTACCTGCACAAATTTTTGTCAACGATTGAATAACAAGCCATTTATGACGAAATGAACTAGTCGATGTTTCGAGTATTGTTAAGAATATTTCACGAAATAGAACCTATTTGAATTAATGGAAGTCTTCTCTTTTTTTTCTATAAACAAAGATAATTTCATTTACTTCAATTTGTATTTTTAAATGTGCTTTGAATTTGTCAAGTAATTCAACAAAATTAAATAAAGACATTTCAAACAGTTCAGGTATGGACGAAACACCATTACGTGATAATGATACACATAAACTTGTTTTGATTATCAGGAGAAAATCTTCTGATGAACGAAATATTGGACCCGATGTTTGAAGTATTTGTATTATTAGACGTAATGAAAATATTCGAGATTTAAGATCCAAATTAGTCCTATAGAATAAAAGGAAATGTTCATGTTTTTTATTTAATTTTTGGCATACTTCGGATCTGTATTGACTTTATCTTTAATATCTCGGTCAGATAGTTTACATAAGGCACGAAAAACATAATATGCATGTCGGAAGTAATTATCAGCAGATATTTCATCAGCTGATAATGAAGATGACACGACTTTTCCAATAGATGATGCTTCATCAATCGATTGCAAATCTAAATATAGAGAAATTAAAATTTTGTACCACTAAGAAATGTCTTCTTGCTATCAGCTAACGAATGATGAGCAGATTACTTTTCTGTACTAACAAATATTTATCAGTTTGAATACATTCAAATCACAGATTAAATGGGATTCATGTATGAGACAGCTATCGGATAAATAATGTTTAGACAAATTTGAGATCCAGCTTCAAAAATAGAATTAGTAAATAGTTTTCTTTAGATTATACGGGTACTCGTGACGTCAAGTAGATAGGAATGTCTGTGTCTATCGAATGAAAACTATGGTTCTCGTTTTCTATTGTGACAAGTCAAAATAAGAAGTACAAAAAAAAGCTTATACGAAATTTTTATTTATTCAAGCAGCACGATATGATACGGTGTTGAGTGGGGAATGGAGATATTCAAAATTTAGAGATTTCAAGTCTCTTTGAAGATAAGAAATCAAGGTTTTCATTGGTTATTGGGATTCGTCTACAAACACAGTACCTGGGACAATCTTATCATAGTGACTTATATGCAGTAGAATCTGGGCTAATTTATTCAGTTGATCAATGCTCTCAAAATTAAATTCATTATTTAAGAAGACTCGATTGTAATAAAGATAAATTGTTCCTTTTTTTCTGAATAGGAAAAACAATATACTTCTTTTGCATCGGATCAAATTACAAACGTCAATCATCATTAATCTCTTATCAAGAACAAGTCCGATAGCCTACCTCCATCATTCTGTCTTATTTCGCCATTGATATCTCCTTGTGTTGATTGAGTATCTTCAATAATTTCGTTGTTTGACAATGAACTATTGGTTTCTACTAGTGTTGCTTCATCTGAATTGCATATTATTTTTCATTGGTCAAAAATAAAAATGAGTGTTTCTTACCATAAACAATTTTCTCAACAAGTTCATCGAGAATATCTTTAATAATTACTTGTTCTTCATCATAATCAGTTGTCACTACACTTATTGTTTCTTTTTGTTTACGCTCATTAACTAAACTCTAAATAAAATTTCATCTTTCAAATATAGAAAAAAATCAAAATCATTTCAAACCATTTTTTGTTCCATTTTCGAAAAAATTCCATTAAGTATTTGTGAAAGACAACCTTGTGCTGTTGCCTCATTAATTTTCGAACGGCTTGTTAAATAAATATTAAAACATGTCTTAACTATTTGTAGCACACTACGTTGATGAATTTCAATTGTTTGCGACGTCATTATAGTTAAACAAATTTTTATTATTTGTAATTCAACTTTTTCTTCAGTTTGGATGCCATAAAAACATGCACAAATAACAGATACAATACGATCGATTAATAATTTTGATGAATCGATCGGATCACTTATATTGCCAATTGCGTGACCATTTAAAAGAAGTTTCTAAACACGAGCTTACTGTCGGTTTTTTTTTCTAATGAAATGTTTCAAAATTTTACTTGAAGACAATCCAGTGAAGTATCGATCATTCGAGAATTCTTTGATGTACAAGCCAATTCAAACGGAAGAAAATAAGTTTCGTGAATAGATAAAATACTGAAAGAAAAATAGTTAAAAAAAGAAAAAAACAAATATCGATTGAATTTACTTTGTAGTTCGAGGTTCTTTTGTTAAAGAAGCTAAAATAAGTAATAAATATATATTTTTATGGAGCCATTAGAGAAGAAAACGCACCAAGTGCTGCTTCACATGCACGTTTTAATTGTTGATGGTATGATTTTTTCATATCTTTTTCAGTTAATAATTTTTCTAGAGCTCGTTTTAAAAACATATCATTATTATCGATATGTTTTGTTGCTGACACACTACCACCACCACCTTTAGGATTCTTTTGAGCCATTTTAATAATGCTAAAAGAGAAAGAAATGTTGAATGATTATTTTCTATTTGAAGTTAAAAGTAATTTGTCGACAATCGCGATCGATCTTCGTTGGCAGTGTATATACATGCATAATATGAGCTTTAGATAATAACAACATAACTAAATGCGATAGCAAGATAAAAGCAATTTTTCAGATTAAATACAAAAAATTCAATGTAAACTGTTCCACGTAAGTGTGGATTTTTTTATTCCTTTCATGATTCATCGTTTTCATTTTATATTATGTACGACAACTCAAATTATTAGTGACTCAACTATTTAGCCAATCTGGAGCAAATTGAGTAGATGGTGCTAAGAATCAAAGCAAAATAGCCAGTATATTTCTCAAGCGCAAGTGCTCATGTTTATGCTAGAATTATCGTGGGAAAGAAAAACAATTAGACTATTCGGTTTGTTCTTCTCCGTATGATTCAGTTATAGCGTAAGAATATTCTTGTGACAGTAGTTCTGAGCACAAAATTGATATACGCGCCTAGAAATTCTGCATATTCAATAACTCGTTAAATAAACCATAATTTTATTTTTGATCAAGAATCGAAATCGCTACTTTTTATTGTAGAAACATGTATCGGATGTGAGCATAGATTGAGACAACACACCCACACGCTTCAATAGATATTTAGCAATTGAGTTTTATGTGTCACGTAGCTAATCAAAAACAATTCTGTTGAATATTCTATTTCATGTCAAAACACTTCATTATATCGTTATATCGTTTTTTATGATTAATATGGGGTTATCGATTGATTTTGGAACACACTCATCAGAGAACGATAACCTAAAAACTAGATTTTACCACACGACTGTAAAAATTGCGTAGATGTTGTGCAAAGTTTTTGACGGAAACTGAAACACTTTTTCAAGTTTTGACGAAGAAAACTGTCTTCTCTCAGTATCAACAATTCTTCATTAATGATAGAAACGTACATTATTATATAGTGTGTACTGTTAATGGGCAGCATTTTCGTTCGTAACAACTATACATGAATACGACCGTCATTTCTCATCGTGCTCATAGAAATTTCTTGTTCAAAATAAGACTTACTCTTGAAGTTATTTGTCAAATCTCCGATAAATCAGAATTTATGGAAACACCGAAAAACAATTGCCAAATGTGATGCGATTTTTATGTCTCGGACTATCTTAACTAGGTTTTCTCTCTCTCTGAAAGTTCTACGTAAATGAATAGATCAAGCATCAAGATTTAAATTCATCTCTATGCAGATCGAATAGATGTTATGGGCGAGCACTTTCTATGAAAAAAAGACTAGGTCTGAGAGTCAACATAGCGAAAACAAGATCAACTCAATCTATTTATTCGTCTTTTTCTGAACAAAAAATTTAACACTCATTTCGACTATTAAAATAAAAAGAATATCTTGAATTCTGTGCATGATTTTATTATAAAAAAAACCTCATGCAAAATAGATGAAACTAGAGTTAGGCTTTGTCCCGGTTCCAGTGCAAATAAAATCTATCATATTGACGATTTAATGTATAGTTCTTGAGTAGCTTTTTCGAATGAATCATTTTTTGTAACTCTTGCACCATATTATTGTTGGCATCTGCAATATAAATACAAATTGTAATTGGACGACGAATACGGTTCGTCTTAATTTTCGATAAAGTTTGTCGTACGAGCAGTTTAAGATTGACATGACTAATACATTCTAATGTAAGATGTTGCATCCGAGGACAAATATCAATAATAGAACCAATTTCTTCAATTTGAGATATCTTTATGAGAGCTACTTTAGTAATTTTGTTGTTTTTCAAAAGAAATTTAGAAATAATTGAAGGCTGATCAGATTTATAGAAATCTTCATATAGTGGCAATGGTGATATTCGCACTGAATCGAGGTTTGGTAATAGACTAAAAAGTTCAATCAATAAACTAGCAGTTAACTGGCTACAACAAATATCCAAATATGGGACGAATCTTGTTAATAAATGATTTATTCATTTGGCCGAGAGAAGAATCTCTGACGAATAAACTAACAGTTGAAGAATAAGAAATAGCAGCTTTTTGTCGATTGCCAATAACACCGTCATTAATAGTATTTTGATTAGAGTATGTATCAATATGTGTATATTTTGGAAAATCAGCTGATGTTGCCCTAATAACAAAGATCAAAATAATTTTTTAGTGAGAACAACGCTTATCAAATAAATCTACTCAGATCAGGCATATGCTCTAAGATTAATTTCTTCCATAGACTAGCGCCTAAATAACTCTTGTCTAAACATTGAATTGTAACACTCAATAATTTCAACTAAGAAGATATTTGGATAATGCACTCTTTAAATTCATCGAACTCGATATAATTTAAAGAAAAACTAAAATGTACTAAATTAGACAAGATGGTCGAGACTTTTCGTTCAATAATTTCATCTAATTCTGATATATTGAGACAATAAAGATGAGAAAGTTGAGATGTATACGAAAGTATAGCAGTAAATTCATTGAGAGTACAACGATGATGGATAACCAAATATTCAATCGTCGAATGTTGTTCATTGGTAGCAATTGGTATATTTATGTCTAATTCTTCATACTTTGATATTATTTATTTAACATATTTTAAGAAAGGTAAACGAAAAATAATTGGATAAATATCGCCAAGATCATCAAAACATTGATCAAGACAAATCGTCAATGAAAAAAGACAACATAACGGTTTTAAATAGAGGAGAAGTGTTGCTAATTTAAATGTTGAAATTTCCTTAAGAACAAGTGATCTAAGATGAGTAAATGATGAGTCAATGGTATATATTTTCAAAAATTTGCAGAAAATAGATTCATTATAAGAATGAAGTGAAACAATATAATCCTTGTTTAGAATGATAAATTTTTGATAACGATATTCATTGAATGATTGCGTTTCAGAAGAAAATTGAATGTTCAAAAGAAGCGATGAACTAATTAGAAGATCTTTAAAACGATTATTGAGATTCGAAAATGCTGCATACATATCATAACCACCATGATAATCGAAAATTTCATGAAATACTTCATTCGGCAAATTTTCGATGCAACTGACGGATCTTCAATATGGCTTTAGGAAAAAAAAAGAAATATTATTCAATTAAGAAATTTATTTTATTTCTTACGTTTTCTTATTAGGCATTTCTAGAAAATATAACGAAAAATATGGAGAGCTTATGAATCAAGCACAACCTACTCGATAATTTTACATCAGACGTTCGATCTATGTTTTTTTTTGTAAGAATTAGACATTATCTACACGGACATTAATAATTATCTATATCATCAGGTATTTTCTTTTTGTTGCTTTTATTCGCATAATATTTTTCTTGTATAAATATGACAAAAACAAATTACATGACTATTCATCTGCTGATTAGTAAAACGAACACATGAAGAGACAAACAGAAGAGATATTTTCAAAAAGATTTGGTTTTTAACCTCCTCTCCCATTTTTCTATGCATACGTGTACTTTTTTCCTTTGTTAATCATTGCACTGCTAATTTCGAGTGTTACTTATCCGAGTACAGCTGTGCAGTTGATAAGAAACGAGACTGAAACAAAATTGTTTATTCTTCCATGAGCTTTGTTGAATGTTTTATCAAGATATTATTTTATACAATGCTAAGTTGCTTTTATGTATACCATCATATAGAGTAAATTAACAATCGAATAGCTGCGACGCCAGGAATTTTGATCTTGGCGAGCTTAGGCTTCAAGCTCTGGCAGTTTCAAATGGTACAGCGTAAGTCTTTTGAACTTATTTTACACGCGGTTTATCTTGAATTTGGTCGAAAGTTTAGGCGCCATTTATCGCATCCCTTACATGTTTCGTGGCGCCTCAACTTGTCTTCATTGAGATAAACAGTGAAAATGAAGTAGAAATGTATTAATACAAATTTTATTTCTTCCATCCAATATGCGCTAAAACATCACGGATGGCATTTTCTTTTCAGTATCAGAGTCTACTTCTTGGTTTTGTGGTATAATTTGATTTCAATCGATTATCTATAAAAAAAAATTCAAAAATACTCGGTGTAATTCCTCTTCTAGCTGCTGTTCATATTGGAATTCTTCGTCTAGAATAGAAGAGATAAATAACTGACGACTTTTCTTTACTAAACTTCTCAATCATCCAACTGATAATACTATATTAAATGATTATATTTGCTTCGCTTCTAATAATTCAATAAAAATTATTTCAATCGCCATCAAATATCGAATATTGATTTGCATTAATATAGGAAAAAAGGAAACATTATTTGCTTTGTTCTATAATGCATCCATACCAGCTTCTTTTTTTTTTTTTATAGAATTCAAACTATTTTCCATGAGCCGATTTTTGTCATACATTAATTGAATCTAAAGAACCAAAAAAAATCATTCAACCATCTTTATCATAAAATATTATAACTTAACTTCAAGTAATGATAATCTTATTATTAGACTTTTTGACAAATAAGCATTTATTATGAACAATGAGTTTTGGAAGCGAAACACTAAGAACCATTCATAAAAAAATCGACTTGTCTATCTCTCTCATTGATTGAAATTACGAAATTATTAAAAAGAACTTCCAAATATTTGTTTTCTTCCTCGATCTTATACTATCATATGATCAAAGAAAAGAAGAAAGAAATGGAATAACAACTCTACATTCTTGTTTATCATGTGAAGAAAACAACTTCGATTGTTGCAACGTGAATTATAAAGGTTTAATTCTAATAAATGATTTTTATTTTTATTTAATTTAGTATTATTTGAGTAAAATATAAGAAAGAATAAAAATAATTAATAATTGACGGAAATGTTGCCCGAGAAGTTTCCCGCATATCTCTCTTTCTTCCTTCCGTAGATGAATATTCTTGAGTTACGATATTGCTGATATTTTCCCACATGCATATCCCTTCGTTTATCTATTGCCATCTAAAAATATCTGTCGTACGATCGTGTTAACGTTCTAAATATCTTTTTCTTGTTTTTCTTCTCCTGCACGAGTCCAACGATGACAACATCTTCCAGAATAATCAGTTCTGGGACAAACGAAAGAGGAAGACAGGCTGAAACAAGCATAAATTGTTCTTTTCTCTATTTTCTCTGGTTAAACTTTGCTTTGTTGATACTGATTTAGCAGCACTTCCTAGTCTAACGTCAATCTGAGAGCAGTACCTACTATGAAAAAATACTCTTCTACGAAGATGTGTAGATTTTGTTGAAGCCTTATTTCCAGTTCTCAGCATTCGATCTCACACAGAACTGATAACTGATTTTATATCTCTCCTCGATTGATAGAAGATGTAGATTTCTTCTTTTCTGTACCCACTTTCAGAATACTACGACACCATGAATGAGCCAAACAAACAGTTTCGTACAGTACTAATCGATATTCTTGATCATTTGGGTGCTAACGAACGAAAAAAACTATCGTTTCTTTTGAGCGAAGATATTGAACGAAGTATTATAGACGATCCAACAATTGGCGGCACATTAAACATATTTCAACAACTTTTTGATCGAAGAAAAATATCGGAAGAAAACTTTACCTATTTAATTGCAGCATTTGAAGCTATCAAATGTTATCAAGCAACGAAGAGTTTAAGAGGTATATGTGTGTTTCATGAAAGACTTCTAACTGTTTCGTCTGCTATCTTTTAGAACTTCAACAACGAATATTAAAAACTCGTTCACCGTCGAACTCTGACAATAATGTGACTTCTACAGCTGATACGAGCAGCAACAGCCGCTGTCTCCAGTTTACAACGAGTAGTGGTTCGAGTTTTGTCGATGACTTGATGAAAGATATGGAAGATGATAAAATAGCTACAACACATATTTCACGTATGTTTGTGTGAAATTCATTTTACATTGTACATGTGAATAATTTATAAGTACCCATTTTTTTCCTCAAGATATGACTCAGGAACTTCATCAAATTAATACTAACAATACAAATATTCCAATATCAGTTATGTCAATGATAACACCAGTCACAAAAGCAGAAAATATTCATTCTGGACCGCACTCCATCAATATTGGAATTAATAAATTTCGAGGAATTTATTGTAATCGGAAACGTTTAATTATCCTATCACTTGGCTTTATTCTAATGATATCAGCAACGATTGCGGTGATAATTTATTTATTTTTTTCGAATGACCCTGACCCTCACCCGCCACCTAAACTAGATCTCAACGATGGTCGATGTAAACTGCCTAGGGATAACTCTTGTACAATGGCAACGCCGATGCCAACAAGAGCTGAAGGTTTAGGAGTTTATTATGAAGAACCATGCTATGGAGTTGGGTGTGGATTCTTTCGACCTTACTGCCGTCTTTGTTGGATTGATCCAAAGGCACCTGGCAAAATGGACCGTCCACAGTGTCCACCGTGCGTTTCTGTGGTTTTAAGCAAATTCAGTTGAATTCACTTACATTGTATTTTTTATCGAAAAAGTCTTGTCATCGCCATGAGACAAATAATTTGCGAAAATATGAACGCTTTGTTATTATCTTCATCTTTCGTAAGATCATATCATCACTTCTATTCTTCTCCTATGCAGTTTTCTCGTCATATCTCTTGCCACAGGTCAAAGGAACATATATTGTTCGGTGTACTAACTCTCTCTCTTTCTCTCTTGTACTAACTATCTCTCTGTCTGAGTTTTCATACAATATAGATGATGGAGTGTTTTCTTCAATAAAGGGGTACAATAGTCAACCGATAAGAAAAGAAGTCTTACAATTGGTGCACTAGCCGATCTTACTGACAATTCAACAACACAGTAAGTAATCCGGAGTCGTACATGAACAACAACGAACGAAAACATCATACTCGAAGCATGGCACAGAAGCAAGAATTTTCGTCATTAACTGATTCTGAACACAAAGTAAGACGAGGATCATCTCCATCCTACATCGAACAACAACAGATACGAATGGATGATCAAGATGAAAACAAACAAGCACAAATGGATATTCAACAATCAAATAAAATGATGTTATTAATGCAACGACTATTGGCTAAACAAGATTTGCTTCTAGATGAAAACAAAGAAATTAACCAAGAGATGGCAACACAACAGTTCACCATCAACAATCTTACTCAAACAATTGAAGCTATACAAGTAAGTAATGCATTATGTCACAATGTACTGCCAACAAAAACATCATCATTAACAACAGCTCCATTGTGGCAGTCAACATCGTCTGTTATTATGAATATGGAGTCTAGTCTTAAGGAACAAGCTGTTAAGCAACTACACTCTAAAAGAATCAATCAACTTCTTGATTCTACTCCATTCACTGGATCAGCTTCACAAGAAGTCTCAGATTGGATCAACAACTTTAGTAACAAGTGTGATCAAGTTCAACTAGACGATGCTCAACGTTTATCGGTGGTTATTGATCTTCTCAAGGGCAATGACACATTATGGTATGATACATACAAGGACACAATTCATGATTGGGTAACATTAAAAAATAAATTAACAACCTATTTTAAACTTGTAACTGGTACCGATCATTTTCAACTGGAACAAAAGCTTTACAATCGACGACGACAAACAAATGAATTAGCAATTGATTATTGTCATAATGTTCTAAGACTTTGTTCAAAGGTTAATAAATACATGGATGATGAAACTCGACTCAAACATCTTACTAAAGGACTGAATGCAGCAGCTCAACTACATATGGATTTAAAAAGTCCTGCCACTTTGGAAGAATTTCTTCAAGCTCTTATTAAGTATGACAAATGGCAAGAAGAAGAAAAGAATCAGGTGAGAGCTACCATATCTTTTGATAATCGTAGACATATAGCAACAACAACAACACAACAACCTTTCATCCAACAACAACCTTATTCTTCGATTCCACAACAGCAATACAATTCTCCGCAACACCAATACAACAATTCGTCACAACAACCACGACATCAACAGCATTACACAACATACGCTTCACATCAACCTCAACATAACAACAGTGAGAAAAGCTATGGTGGATGTTGGTCATGCGGTGGTATGGACCATTATCAATATAATTGTTCAAAAAACTACTAGGGGGAGTATGTGATGGTCATACTTCCTTTCCACAATCTCACCCATCACTTATAATAATTGGAACAATCGTTAATGGTACATTAATTCATGCGATGCTTGATACGGGAGCTACTACATCACTTATATCACAAACTGAACTTGATCTTATTACACATCCACCAATTCAACAAATTCAAACAACAGCAGTACTTGGTGATGGAAAAACCAAAATAATAGTCAGCGGTGCAGTTGAATTAACTATTACTATCAATGATATTGCTACCATCATTACAGCTCTGATTGTCGATTCATTAGGTGCAAATTTAATTCTTGGTATGGACTGGTGCAAATCAAATAATGTGAACGTGAATATCGGTAAAAAACAAGTCGAAATAAATCATCCAAAATACGGAATTACGATAACACCTTTCTTGAACTCAGGGTCAGCCGATGTCCGTCTCGCTGAATGCATCACTTTATTACCACATCATGAGCATATAGTCAAAATTTATGTACCGATTTCATCTGCTAATCTTGTTTCTTTTTTACCAGATATTAAAAAATGTGCTAAGTTAAATGTTCAAGTATCTGATGCTTTTGTTGAAATTAAAGATTTCTCATTTTATGTTTGCATTTATAATCCTAACAAAAATATCTACAAACTAGCTAGTACTAAAAAAATTGGATCAATACACTATCAGTCAAATGATGAAATGATGTATAGCATATTAAACACAGATAAGCAATCAAGTATGACAGAACAAAGTACTCAACTGAATTCGATACAAACAAATGAACAACAAGAATCATTAAAATTATCATTACTCGAAAATACTCTTCAAGAATTAGTGATGCACATTGGTGACAAATACAATCGCAATGATTTTCCTAAAATCCTTCGACAAAATGAACGTTCATTTGACAACTCAAAAATGACCAGAGCAAAAACCAAGATTCATCATACAATCAACACTGGTGATCACCTGCCAACAAGTGTTCGACCATATTATAAGACAGTACAACAAAGAAAGGAAGTTCAACAGGAAGTAGGAATGTTACTTGATCAAGGAATTCTTCGACCGTCAAACTCGCCATGGTCGTCACCAGTGTTATTAAAGAGGAAACCGGATGGTACGTATAGATTTCTGGTTGACTTCCGCCGACTGAATTCAATCACAAAAAAGGACTCATACCCTCAACCATCAGCTGAAGAGTTACTTCATCGTTTGGCTGGACATCAATACTTCACCAAATTAGATTTAAAGTCCGGTTACTTCCAAATACCAATACACAAATCCGATATACCCAAGACGGCTATAATCACTCAAGACGGCCTCTATGAATTTACGGTACTTGCTCAAGGTCTTATGAATGCTCCACCAACATTCCAAAGGGTGATGAATGAATTATTGGCCAATGGACGATGGGACTATGTGGTTGTCTATCTTGATGATATTGTGATTTTTTCGAAAACAATCGAAGAACACAAACAACACGTGGCCGACGTTATCTCAACACTTCACAAGGCCAACTTGCAAGTATCACTAGCAAAATGCTCAATTGCCGTCAAAAAGATCGAATTTTTAAGTCACTTTGTTACATCTGACAAATTGGAACCATCATTAGACAAGATCAAAGCAATTGTTAATATTGCTCCGCCAAAAACGCTTTCACAAGCCAACAAGTTTATAGGTAAAATTGGATATTATCGTAAATTTATTCCAGACTTCGCAAAAATTGCTGCACCCATTCACAAGGTTACTAACAAGACAAGAACAAAAAGAAATGAATTTCGTTGGGAACAACAACAACAAGATGCCTTCGACAAATTTAAATCAATACTGACAAGTGCACCACTATTCCTCGATTTTCCAAACCGATCAGTACCATTTATCTTATCTACAGATGCAAGTGATCTAAGAATTGCTGATGTACTCAAGCAAGATACAACTGATGGATTGAGGATTTGCTACTGCAAATCCAGATTACTGAATGACATTTAAAGTAGGTATTCAACCACAGAACAAGAAGCTTTAGCGATCTATTGGTGTCTTACTAAATTGAGAAATTATATTGGAGATTCTGAAATCACCATCGGAATAGATCACAAGCCATTGGTCAATATGCATAAGAAGCGAAACTATGGTAACAAAAGAATTGACAATTGGTTGATATATTTACAAGATTTAATACCACAAATTATTGAAATAAAGTATAGGCGTGGTATTGACAATATCGGTCATGGTTATCTTACTCGATATGAAACAATTGATAGTGACAATCAGCAACAGTCACTTTCTGCCATCACTCGATCTATAACAAAACAAGCAACTACAAGTGCTTCGTCATTACCAACCGTGACCGAAGATCACCCGACAACATCAACACCTCTACTTAAATCTACCTCAATTTTAGACTTTTCTTTGGAAAAGATCAAAAGTGAACAAATCATGATATTGATATTCAACTTATTATTTCACGTATTCATGCCCAACAGAAAATGGATAACTATGTACTGTACAGCAACATCTTATTTCGTCTTATCACCAAGAAAAACGATAGTACCAAGAGCACGTTTCCTTATTTACCTGTGTCAATGCTAAGCACACTATTAGAAGCATTTCATTATCATCCATTGAGTGGGTATTTCGGAGTGCAACGCACTTTACATAAAATTCATACTCGATTTTAGTGGCCTGATTATACGCAAATCAATTGAACATTACATCGCATCATGTCAAAAATGCAGGAAATTCAATATCGTACAAAGCAAAACACCAGATCATCTTAAATCGTTTGATCCACCAACAGATGTATTTCAAGTATTAAATATGAATTTCTGGGGTCCTGTTCGCACATCGTCACAGGGGAATCGATATGTGATAGTGCTTACGGACAATTTATCAAAGTACGTGATAGCAAAAGCGATCTCAAATAATACTGCTAAGGCTACTGCTGAATTCATTATGAACGAATTCATTATGATACATGGTGCACCTGAACGACTTATTACAGATAACGGAGTACATTTTAACCACACATTAATGAAGACAATTACCACAATGATAAAAACTACTCATTCATTTTCAGCTTCGTATCATCCGCAAACGAATGGCCAAGTCGAGCACTTTAATGCTACGTTTTGTACACAGCTGGGAAAGTATTATGATGAGAACGAAGATGGCTGGGATGATTATCTTCAGTCCGTAGTTTATGTCTACAATACAGGCATCCATGCTACAACTGGCTTTATTCCGTATGAACCTGCATTTGGTCGACGACAAAAGAGTCCTTTTGATTCTAACTCAAGCAATTTCACTTTAACTCAACCGCATACATTTTTCAAATATTTACAAAAAACACGACGAACAATTCTTAAACAAGCTCAAGAAAACATGCGTCATCAACAGCAATTAACAAAACTGCGATATGGCAAACATCGCAAAGATATGTCTTATTCTATTGGTGACTTAGTATTTCTGAAGGTATGTGCTAATCGTACAAAATTAGATGAACGGCGGATAAGACCTTGTCAAATGATCAATAAGACAGGTGAACAAAATTATTTTGTTCAAAATAATGAAACGAAAATTTACATGAGCTCATATTAGTCAACTACAACGGGTTATGGAACGAGTCGTCTAATTGCAAAGTATTCAAACTGATACAATCATATTTTATCACGATTATCAACAGTGATCGAAGACGACGTGGCAACGTCTTATCATTATCAAATTGAGGCGTGGCAACTAAAATTCTCAATTCTAACAGATCACAAGAAGTACCTTATAATACAAAAACAAAAAAGTTTTCATTTTATCTTATTTATACTGATCATTGTTCGATGCACGGGGCGCGCACCGTTTTTTTTTGTACGGGAGAGGTGTTATAATCTTCATCTTTCGTGAGATCATATCATCACTTTTATTCTTCTTCTATGCAGTTTTATCTTCATGTCTCTTGTCACAGGTCAAAGGAACATATATTGTTCGGTGTACTAACTCTCTCTATCTCCTTTTCTCTCTTGTACTAACTATCTCTCTGTCTGAGTTTTCATAGAATATAGATGGTGGAGTGTTTTCTTCAATAAAGGGGTACAATAGTCAACCGATAAGAAAAGAAGTCTTACACGCTTTGACATTAAAAAAATCAGACGACTTTTTACGAAGTTTTGTGATAAACAAGCAACGTATCGTACAATTTGCTCTAGGAAAAAAACTGTCTTCAAAGAGAAATATAAAAGAATATAGATGATGCACGAGATTGCCTTATAATTTCACTGCATTTACTTGCAAAGTAGAATATCAACACAACGAACGATAGAATTTCAAAATTACGGGATTAACTCGCTATTTTTTTTAAACTTTTACTGAACAGATAACTAACCGGGCTTGAGAAAAGGTTTTAAGGGAAAAAATGCGTCAAAACGATGTTAAAGATATTATAAACGTAACAAAATATACTTCTATTATATATGCATTTTTTGTTTCTTCATACCAAAATGTTCACGGATAAATGTGAATTTAATTACATCTCTCCATCGTAGGAGGAAGCCAAAAATAATGTAAACAAGGTGTCTGTGACAGTTTTCCATTGCTTTCTTTTTCTCACTATCTCTGTATTACACACGCGCACATTATATTATACATAATTTATTTTTTGTACTACTAAAAAGGAACAGTGATGTGTAAAGTACCTTAGAAAAAAAGGTTTGATAAGGTCACGGGCTACATAGGGGAAATAAATTTGAACTTTAATAGCATGACATTAAAAGCTAGCTACACATTTTGGACACTGTGGGCGATCCATTCTACCAGGTGCTTTTGGATCAATCCAACAAAGACGGCAGTAAGGTTGAAAGAATCCACATCCGGCTCCATGGCATGGGTTTTCATAATAAACTCCTAAACCTTCCTTTTTCGTGTTTTTCGGCGTCCCGCTGGTACAAGAGTTTCCAGGAGGCAGTTTACATCGTAGATCTTGAGTGTCTGTTCTCCGTTCTCGATCAATAACACATTGCGGACATTGTGGACGATCCATTCTACCAGGTGCTTTTGGATCAATCCAACAAAGACGGCAGTAAGGTCGAAAGAATCCACATCCGACTCCGTAGCATGGTTCTTCATAATAAACTCCTAAACCTTCAGCTCTTGTTGGCATCGGCGTCGAATCTGTACAGGAATCGCCGTAAGGTTTCAAACACTTATCTTGTTCACTTGTTGCTGACACGACCTGATAAATAATGACGAATCAAAGTAGACTGAATCTTAACTTCTCATGCTTTTACCTACCAGAACAATGGCAAAAACTAACAAGACGCTCACATCTAACAGATGGTTAGAAATGGTTTTTGGAGCCATGTTTTTAGCGTTTTAATTGTACCGAAGGATTAATTAATAGTGTCTGAAGAAAATATTTTTTTAAAACTTATTTACACTGTTGAAAAGTAACTGTATGTAACGAGTGAGTCAAAAATAACTATAGCACCAGTATTTTCATATTTTCTCCTCGGGTTAACACTTGATTGAATTAATTTTTTACAAGCAAAGTTAGACTTCTCTAGGGTTTTCAATGGTATATAATCACAGAATGAAAAAACAAACCTTAAAATGAAAACTCCCAAGTTTTTTCGTTCATATTTCAAGCCAAATTATTGAGAGAAACGCTATTTCGCAGCAACTAGTTCGAATTCTGACCAGAAAACTTTATTTAGAAACGGAACATTGGAATTGGATTATTAGAGAGGAATGGAATAATCGAAAAAATAAGGAATCTTACATTCTACCTAGAGAAAATCCTACTTTGTCACTAGAGTAAACTGTTTTGTAGAAAATTGAAAGGGAAATCTTCAGGTACAAAATTAACTCGATCAAGTATAACAACGAGGAGAAACAATCAAAATACTGGCGCTTTAATTCTTTTTGGCCTATCCGTTAGCTTTAGTGTTGTTCCTCAGAAAACTCATGCAATAGTTACTTTGATGAATCTGTATCACAAATGTAAGGAGAGAAGAAAATGAAGTGTCATATATACTTCTGCTTTACAGCTGACAAGCTATCTGTCATCGTAAATTACTCTTCTCTAAATAAATATATTCGATGGGGAGAATCCCACATAAAAAATATCTTTATCACAAGAAAGACTTATGATGCGACAGATCTGTATGTTTTTTTTAAAGAAAAAGAGAAAATTATTGCAGAACCAAATATATTATTTTTTGAAAGAAACAGTGTTTATTGGTAGTTTCATGCGGCATGTTTCTAAGAAAAAATTCGCATCAGAGTTGCCAAACTAAACATCCTAGCGTGGATACAATCGATATGACACAGCAGTTACAGAGAAATTTACCATTTTCATTGAGTTTTCTAAGAGAGCCTCTCCACTACATTAGCTAGTTGACACCCAAACTATGTATAGATAAACAATGAAATCTGCTTATTCTGTACTTCATTTTCTCAACTTAAAACTAACACATTCATGCGAAAATGAATTGTAGAACATATATTGAATATCGATGAAGGTGTGAATATACTGGCAATGTCGGCAATAATGTATATGATTGTGGTGATATTTTAGATTGAACAAGCTTCAATATTGGTACTCTTAATAACTGTATTCAAGATGCGCCTGCGTAATCAGTTGCTCTCCAGAAAACTACACAACTTTGGTAATGAAAAAAAGAGCCTATCAGAACGATTTTATTATTGATGGAAAATGGAGAAAATATTTTCGAATTTTATTTTTCAGCCATTTTTAGGTAAAATGGGCCAAAAAAGATGTAATAATTAGGGTTAACATTTACATATAATTCTTTTAAAAATAATACTGACCAAAAAAACCTATTTTTAAAAGGAGAATAAAAAAACAGATACATCTTGCGCAATTATGCTTTTTCACGTAGCTCATCAGCTGAAAGTGAATAAAATCTCATTTGTGTTCAAGTACCTCTTTATTGATATTCTGAATATTTCTCTTTTGGTTTCACTTCTTATTCGATGAATTAAAGCTGTTCTGTCAGCATGACTATACTTTTGAAGTTGCACTCAAAATGTAATGGGATCACAATTGTCTGAATCACTGTGTGATTATGTCCATCTGGATGCACTTCTTTATTTTACTCTTAAAGGATTCTATCCTTGCATTATATCATTCATTCATTCATTCATTCGCAAACGGTGATATCAGCCATTATCATGTTTCTCGCTGTTATTATTGCCTACCTCTGCATCGTCGTTAAAAGTGAAGCTACTGATTCTTGCCAGGCTCGCATCAGTTCTTTTGCGCAATGCACTGCTACTGTGATGACGGATGGATGTGAAGATTCAATACTCAATCTTAAAGACACTAAATTTGTGAACTGTGACTCAGTTCGCTTCTTCTGGTCGTACCCGCTACACAATCTCACAATCAACATCGTCTCTTCATTCACCGTAGAGAAGAAGCCATCCATTCTATATCTAGAGAATCATGAAGTTCGCGCTGGTGTCAATAATATTTTTCGCATCTACAAGAATCAAGAGACGGATGTGACCACTTCAGATGATACTCTCGTTCAATATTCGGATGCTGACTATCTTTACATTCTCAAATTTGTTGGTCCTCAGAAATTACAACGGTATGGTGTCAACATCAATTGGGAGGTGCATCAACAATGATCATATTTTGCATTCTTCATCTGAGAGTCGCAACGATATGCACAGAAAGACATAATAAAAAAATGGCACCAATTAACTGAAAATATTTGAATCACACTTATAAGGCTAAGGGTTTTAGATAAAATGATTGCTGTTATGCACGTACAATCACTTTATTTCAACATATTTCTTGAAGACTTTTCGATTCAACTGTGATTAAAACATTCCTCCTCTTCGCTACAAAACTAACGGGAAAATGTTTTACAGCAAAACTATACAATACCCCACATCACAATGTGGATGTGGACTAGCATGTTTTGTGTCTTGAATGTAGAACCAATTTCACCATCCCAAATAATCGTTTATCATCACATTCATGATTAGGATCGTAATAAATTTGTGCCGATAGGGTTGATAAATTAAAAATGACTCAAGAAATATACTGCTATTGTACAAAGCAGTGAGCTTTTCATTAACAGTAAAAAGTAGACGTTAACTGAACCGTTGCCACTTTATTACCTATCGTAATTTTTTTAGAAAGAGTGCCTTGAAACGCTTAAAATATATGCATTTTTTTATTATCTCAATAGTTTACTAATAATTATTTTTGATGGTTTTGAGTCAGCATTCTCTAATAGGTACGGCGTCATTGAATCAATTCTGTATGAGTGCCACTTTCGATTAATTTTCCCTTATTAACTACATATATTGAATCACATGAACGAATAGTCGAGAGACGATGAGCAATAATCAGTGATGTTCGACTGGGATCTTCTATTTGCGCTTGTTCAAGAGCTTCTTGTACGATCTATCAATGAAAAATGAAGATGAAACAACGATCGGTGCGTAGAAAATTACTTGTTCATTTGTGAATCCATAGCACTTGTAGCTTCATCTAGTAGCAATGCTTTAGGACGACGAATAAGAACTCGAACAATAGCAATACGTTGCTTCTCGCCGCCAGACAGGAAACTACCTTTGATTCCTACTTTGGTTTTATAGCCCTCAGACAAATATCACACAACAATAAACGGTGCACTACATGATTCTTTAGTATTTTACGTCAGATAATTGTTCAATAAATTGATGAATGTTAACTTTTTTGCTGCATCAGTAATGCCAGTCATCGGAACATCTTCTAAGCCATATGCTATGTTCTCAGCAATTGTTAAATCAAATAAAATTGGTTCTTGACTAACAAGACCAAATTGAAAACGAACCCAATGAATATTTAGCTTTCGAATATCGACACCATCAAGAAGCTAGATCAGATGAATGAAAGGTATGTAATTGCAGAAATCATCTATTCCAGAATAACTCACTATTTGGCCTTCTTTGACATCATAGAATCGTTGTAACAGTTGAATTGTTGTTGATTTTCCACATCCCGATCCACCTATAGCGATTATGTCTCATGAGTAATACTCAATAACAACATGAAAATTAAGCATACCGACAAGAGCCACACGTTGACCTTATCAATCAAATGTATCAAAAAACATTGATTCAATCGAAGTTTGTCTGACTTACTTGGCATAATATTTAATTGAAATTTTTTAAGAACAACAGATGTTGGTCGAGTAGGATAGATGAATTTTACGTCATCGAATTTAATATCTCCATGAAAATCATCCTACATAAACCATATGATATGAATGGCATGTGCATGATGAACATAAAGTAGCTAATATTCTATGTTTTCTTACTAATTCTTGCCCTTCATCAGATCCATTATCAATAGTTGGTATTCGATCGAATAAATTGAAAAACGATTGAGCAGAAGAGACTAATCCAGCGATACGGTATGCACTAGAATAGAACTAGTAGAAGAAGACAACAAAGCGAATTAGGGATAGAGACATGATTACAGCATGCCAATTAATTTTACTGCTGGTAGAGCAAACATAGAATAAGCAACGACCCTAAAAAGAAATGAAAATCTCATGGGTCAATGTTTCTTAATTATCAAACTATGTTTCAAATACATTATAATATGGTGAGAAGTCAGCTGCTTCTCTTCAACAAGAATGAGAGCACGCCAATAGACAAATGCCACAGTGTAAACATCAATTGTCCAGTATAAACCACCTGCTATAGATACTGGTATCGCAGTCATACGATACAATCTATAGAAAGCAAAATAGGATAGATATAGACGCTCAAATGTATGCAACACATGGGATTGACTAACCGAACTGCTTCATAAATGAGATCAGAGTATTGTCGTAAAATTTCCTTTTCCACCGACAACTGTTTTATTGTGCGCATATTGTGAATAACTTTAACAGCTAACTAAAGAAGTAAAACAAAGAATGAATACTATATTTAATTTATGAAATAGATTATATGATAAAATAATTTTGCTAAAACTGTATTTCTTCATTATGAATTGATCTTACGGTGCTGGCTTGCCCCATAATTGGATCATTTTGTTTGCCTTGCCAAACCCGTAAGCTCACTTCTCCAAAAGTTAGCAACGCCATGGCGATAATAGGAATAAGAACAATAAATGTCAGTTGCCAATTCATGAAACAACTAAAAGCAATGCCAAAAAACGTTAGTGCTAGAGATTCGAAGATAACTCCTAATCGCGTGCCAGCCATTTCTTGAACGGCGACTGCATCAAAAGAAAGACGAACACTAATCGCACCAGAAGTATTTTCAGATCGATCGAAATAAGCAACTTCTTGACGAAGAAAACAACCAAAAGCTTTTGACCGAATTCGTTGTGTTAATTGCGATCCTGCTATTGCAAAAGCTGTATGCTAAAGAGAATACTAATAGATCATCAATTAAATACAGATATATCATTTCTACTTGGAAAAACTTAAGAACGAATAAAAGCCCACCCAAAAGCATAAAAACAAGAGTGGCGTTCAATACATGACTACGTCGTTCTGAGATCGAACAGTAACCGAACGCCTAGATATTAAACAAATCAACACATACTGATGCATACTATGGATCACTCACCTCAACTACGTTAGCATAGAAAAATGCAAATAATGGCTGAGATGCTCCACTAAATAAACATGCCGCACAACCAATGAATACGGTTTTCCATTCAGATCCATTCATTGATAACAGTCTTAACAGAACAAATCTTTGTATGAATGATTTTGAGCTTTTATAAATCATGAATGATCAATATTGATTGTTATTAGAATGTCACAAATATGTGTACCTTTTGCACATCAACAATAACTTGTGAATCGCTAATTAAACGAGATCGTTCAGCTGCATAAGAGAAAATACAGAAGATATTAAATTCAATTAGTATTATAATATACACATACCTATCGCCTCTTCTTCTTCCTCTTTTGCTTTTTGCATTTTGATTGGATCATCTTGATCATCATCAATTTTCTCCATTTGTTGTCGTTTGACCAACTCTTGATATTTTCCTCCTTCGTTCCCCATCAATGTGTCATGTGTACCTTGCTCAATCACATTTCCCTTGTCAAACACATATATTTGATCAGCATTTCGAATCGTAGTCAAACGATGAGCAATAACAATAGTTGTACGACCTATATATTCATAATGATATAGTATCTATTCAAGAAACAGAAAAAAACGAGCTCTACCTTTGCATGCTCGATCGAGTGCTTCTTGAACAATTTTTTCATTATTATTATCGAGTGCACTTGTTGCTTCATCCAATAAAAGAAACGTAGGCTTTTTTACAAGAGCTCGAGCTAATGCAATTCGTTGTTTTTCACCACCACTTAACTGGATACCACGTTCTCCAACGAGTGTTTCATATTTCTAAATAAGATATCATAAAATAAACATACGTGCATAGATAGAGATAACTATTAAATGCAAACATCTGGTAATTGCATGATAAAATTATGTGCATTTGCTTCTCTTGCTGCTTCTTCAATTTCATCTTGTGTTGCATTTAATTTACCAAAACGAATATTTTCATAGATAGTCATGCCAAACAGAACCTTTTACAAAACGGATGAAATAGAATGTACAAAAGGAGTAAAAAGAAATAGACATACAGGTTCTTGACTAACAACGCCAATATTTTCACGAAGATGCTGAACGTTATAGTTTGTTATTGGTTTACCATCGATCGTAATTTCACCAGATGAAGGTTCATAGTAACGAAGAAAAAGTGATATGCATGTACTTTTTCCTATGAAAATAATCGTGAACATAGTTTAGATCAGTTTAGCAAGCTGCTTGTTGTTTTGAAGAAAGCTTACCGCATCCACTGAAACCAACGAGAGCTGTTGTCTGTCCAGCACGAGCAACGACAGAGAGATTACATAGAACTGGTGCATCTCTTCGAGACGGATAATGAAAGTTGACATTGTTAAATTTAATATCACCATTGATATTAGAACGCGATTCTGTGATATCTTCCCAAACTTCTGCTTCGTTGATACTTTCATCTTTTTCCTTATTTAAAGAAAAATAAATAAAATTGAGATTTCGATATGTTCGTAACTACTTCGTCAATAAGTCGAAACACTGATACTGCTGCACCTCGCGCTTCTGAAAGCCCTTGAACAAAAGAACCAACAAAACTGATGAGACCTATAGATTGCGAAAAGATGGAGGCGACCTATATTAATAATATGAACTGCACATTTATTCACTATTGAATAATTGAGTGAATTGCTCACAATAAGAATATCACTAATTGTGAAAGTGGACTGATTCTTTTTTGTCATTAGAAATGAGCCAGAAATAAAATCAGTCGCACAAACTATAAAGGTTATAAGAGACAGCCATCCAATAAAAACACCGAATAAGGCGCCTTGACGTATGCCACCCGAACGAGTCGGAGCCAATTCTTTGTCATATCTAAGTTCATGAACGATGTTATTTGAGAATATTCATTTTCATGTATTCGTTTACCGTTTCTGCTCAAATTTGGCACCGTTGAAAGAACAGTTCGCAATGAACTAAAAAATTCTTGAACGATTTGTCCCGTTTTGGCGTACGTCTTTAATTCATAAACTGTTTCATTGGCCGTGAGCTATGATAATACATAAAGATTTTATTGAGCAAACAATAATTTATACCTTAGAAAACACAAGTGAACTACCAATGGCCAATGGTATCACACATACATAACCATAGTTAATTTCCAATTGACTATAAATGATACTATGAAACAGCAGCAAATGCTGGTTATCGTTGCAATCAATGCTAAGAATTCCATGCCGATGCCTTTTTCATATAGTCCGTTGTTCTTTTCCCTACGAGTAAACCATAAACCAATGGAATAATTTGTGGTTTGAACAATCTATGTAACGTAAACATTTGATAGAAATCTTTTGGACACACCTAAAATAGACGTTTAATGAGTAAATTGAAAGTCTTTGCTTTTATTTTGCCTTAAATGTTCCATCGGCAAACCAATGTTTACACGTTTTCAATACTAAGAGATGCACCGCGGTTGTAAAAATGATCAATTTCTCATCTTCGTGAAGTACGAAGTTCTCTCCACGGTCTGTTTGTTTTAAATTATCAGGCAGTTGATTGTTGGAATTCGTTGGGTGCCCTTGACGTCCCAGGTCGTGGACGTACGGCGGGAAACGGCCGGAAAGCACAGGAAAGCGCTGGAAACTGGAAGCAGTATTCCAGTTGGAAGTTACCGGATTTTCTTCCTGTAGATTCCGATCAACTTCCAGATGTAAAACACAGAAAACTGACCGGAAAACACAGGAAACTGACCGGAATCCACAGGAAAAAAATCCGGTAACTTCCAACTGGAATACTGCTTCCAGTTTCCAGTGCTTTCCCATGCTTTCCGGCCAGATACGGTGATTTTTCCGCGTCTTTCCGGCCGGTTCCTACAGTATCCGTCCTCCGGAATCATTGACCTGGGGTGGTTGATGAATAGTTCTCAAAAGTGTTTCACTTTGAGGTAGTTGATCGGCTGCATCTAAAGGAAAAGATCTCATTGTAGAATGTAAAATTGTGCTTGATAATTCTTTGGTTTCAGCAGCTCATGGTTTTATTTTATTTTTTAGTTTCAGTGCTGGAACCAGATCTGGTTTTGACGCGTGGCAGTGCTCAGTAGGAGTAGAAACAATTACATCCATAGCCGAATTGGTGTTGGTATGACAACGACCTAAAAGAAGATAAAAATAAAGTACAAATAATTAATTAGTTTTTTTTTACCTTTGCAATCTCTGTTTTGACAACGAAAAATCAATTTAACATCATTTTTTTGTTCTAAAGTATAAATATAACCTTCATAACCAAGCATAGCTTTTCCCTTTTCACTTGTAAATTTTTTAATTGTGTGTACTCACCACTTTTCTGAATAGATAATTGTATGAATATTGACAAGAAATGTCTTCTGTCACTGAGGAGAGTTATTTTATATTTATTTTTAAAATTAATAGTTTTTTCTGATCTTTTCAAAATCCTATTAGATCATTTGTTTTTTCCTTGAGATTCATAACTCAGTCTACAAAATTCGTGGGCTCATTCAATTAAATTTTAATCCGACAATCGATTAAAATCTTCTTCATCAAGAGTATGGGTTTGCTTCTGCTATACGAGTTTATTGAAGCCACTAACACACCCATAGCATCTATTAGTAATTTTTAATTTAGATTATTCCACTCATCATGACAATGATTTCATAATAATCTTGTTTTATTTATCTTGCTTTAATAATAAAACGAAGTATTTATGTTTCAAGTTGATGTTAGAAAACTAATTATAGTCTTAATTGAACCTATACAATAAGCTGTTTCTCAACCCACACAGTAGCTTCATGTGGGATGCGGGTGTACATGTTCCTGCAGAGTCCACTCCCACACGCGGACGACATTGAAGAGATGGATTATGACTACATACACCAGTGACCACTATGTAAAACAACATGTTTCTTCGAAGGAGTGGAAGGCAATAACATAAAAAAGGATACCCTAACGCAAAAGATACTATTTTTTGTTGATTTAATTTTTCTGTGATGTGGACACAGTTTAGATGCCAATTAGGTGGCATATCTAATGTTGTTATGATATTTTTCTCGTTTTGATCATTCTATCAATGATAAAATATTAACGAAGTAAGGAGTTTCTGTAGACCGATGAGAAGCAGTTAAATAAGCGTAAATCTATAACCATCCGAATGAGCAGTAGAAATAATTGAAGATAAGATTGAATATATAACTGCCACAAAATACATGAGAATTTTAACAAAATTCAAACTTTATTTAATTTTATTTCAAGCTTTCGGCAAGAACTCTTACCATCATCAGGAATATTACAAAGAGAAAGAATAAGAGACATTTTTATATAAGATATAGAGATACTAGATGAAAAAATAGTGATTAATTGTAAAAATGATGATTAATATATGTAGGTGTATTTCTTCTTTGTTTATCGGATAGTTATTGAGTGAAGGAGTGTGGTATTTTTATATCTAGAGGTTGAATATATAAGTGATATTAAGTTCTTAAATATAAATAAATAAATAAATAATATATAGTTATATCGGTTTTATTTTTATGTTATTTTTAAGCGAAAATTTTTAAATCATGTTTTACTTCGTTTAAAGACTTACCATAACTGTAGTGTGTGAAAAGACTTTCTTTTATGACTCTACGTTTCCAGTTTGTTTCTGAAGATAAGATTTTTGTGTTCTCAAAATCAAAGGAGTGATTCTTTTCGAATACATGTTGTGCTGTATTCGAGTTTTCTTTTACTTTCCTTATATCTTCTTTATGTTCTTTTATTCTCGTGGTTAAACTTCTATTAGTTTCTCCAATGTAGCTGTAATTACAGTTTTTACATGGTATTTGATAAACTAGTTTTTTAAGTTTATTATCTTCGTCTACGCCTTTTTGTATAGACAAGAATATATTTTTAAGCGTGTTAGTGTTTTTTAGTGTTATACTGATTTCTAGATGAGGTAGAAATCTTTTACATAGCTTTTGCATCCTTGATGCAAGTATATTGGATTCATGTCCATAGTATGATAACGTGAAAAATATTTTCTTTTTTATTGATGTATTATTGTTGTTACTATTATTATTATTATTATTTATATGTTTATGTTTATTAATGATTTTTGTAGTAATTATTTTTCCTTCTCTGATACCTCTACGTATAATATGTTTAGGATATCCGTTTTCACCTAGGGTTTTTTCTAGGTCTATTAGTTCTTGATTAGAATATCTATCAGAAGAACATAACAATAATATCCTAATAGTTAGAGTTCTTATAAGACCTAGTTTGTATTTTCTAGGTTGATTACTTTCGTAGAGTAGATATAAGTTAGTATTTGTTGGTTTTTGTATAGATAGTTGTATCATATTTATTAGTGTTCATATTTCTAATTATTAGTACATCTAGAAAATGTATTGTATTATCTATTTCTGTTTCTATTGTAAAACTTATATTCTTATGCCACTTATTTATACTTTCAAGAACATTATCAATGCTCTGTTTATTATCAAAAATACATAGTATGTCATCGACATATCTTAACCACACCTGTGGTTTGTTTTTTGAGAATTTATTAAGTTTATTTGCTAGTTTACTCATGAACATATCAGCGAGTATAGGTCCGAGTGGTGACCCCATCGCAACACCATCGCATTGTATATAGTACTCATTCATGAAGCGGAATGGTACATTACAAACGGCGAGTTCAAGCAATTTTTTAAATTGTTTTTTATTAAAAGGTGTGTTTTTAATTGTTTTTGATTTTCCCATAGACTCTACAACTATGTCTATGGCCTCTTTTACTGGTACGTTCGTGTATAATGCGTCGACGTCGAAGCTACACATTACTTGTTGTTGAACGTTAGTTATTTCTCTTATTTGTTTGACGAGATCAAATGAGTCTTTTATATATGAAAATGACTTATTTTCGCGATTGGCTTTTATTAAGCCTGCTAGATATTTAGAGAGTTCGTAGTTATAACTCCCTATTGATGATATAATAGGTCTTAGCGGATAACCATTTTTATGGATTTTTGGTTGTCCATACATGCAAGCTATCGACGAACATGTAGACCTGATACTATAAAATAGTTCTTTAGTTATAGTATTTTCTTTATATAACTCTCGAAGATATTTGTTCATTTCTTCTTCTTTCTCTTTTTGTAGAGATCTAGTTGTATGTTGAAACTGTTTTAATTGAAGAATATTATTATTTTTTTCTATGCAGTCTTTTTTATCCATCACTACGATGGCATTGCCTTTATCGGCACGACTTATTATGATTTGTTTATTATTACGCAATGTTTTTATAGCCTGAAATTCTTCATCGCTAATATTACGAATATTATTATTATTTATATTTCTAATATATTTATTTGCATAATCATGTAGATGATGACACACTGTTGAGAAAACAGAAGGATGACAATGAGATTCGAGCTTTGTTCCATTAATCTCCATATCCGTTTTAAAGTCATCCATTTTTTGTAATTTTACTTTTTATACAAAAATTCCAGCCACGACATAGAAGTCTCTCTTCAGCTGGAGTGAGAACGTATGTTGATACATTATGAACAAGTTTATTATGTGTTGCTTCATAATTTTGTCCTATAGGACCTTTATTAAGTTTTTCTAGTTTTTTCTTATGATTTTCTTTTATCTTATCACGTTCACGTTTGACTCTGTCGAGCTTATAATTATTTTTCAATTTTAACATAATCTATTCTACTTACAACCGATTCAATATGTTTTTTTAATTCATTTATATGTCTTTCATATTTCTGTATATCTTTATTTCTATTATAATATTCTTGTTGTATGAGATATCGTTTAAATGATAGAAATTGTTGTTGTGTTTTTAGTTGTTTTTTCCAAATATTTATGTTTATAAAAGTTGGACTTAGATCATACAACAAGCAGAATCTTAAAAATTCCAAATCACATGTATATTTCTGTAATTTTATACTTATTTTTTCTAATTGTCTAATCGATAGAAAAATAAGTTTGCCAAACTTACGGCAAGTAACTTGTTGCTATTAAAGCATTATTCAAAAAATACTCACGAGCATTCATGTTCATGCTACCAGCACATATGGAAAAGAAACAGATCTTACTGAAATTTTACTATTATGATATTAATTAAATAGTGGTCAAATAGCATAGAAAAATAGAGCGAAACGCGCACTATCTATTGGTAAATAAATGTTGAAACATCGGATCTGCATCCGATTATTATGTGTACTTCAAAAACTGAGTCGATTTATATGTTTTGAATAATTCTGAGAAAAAATCTCTGTACCCGCTCAGGGATGGTCTGGTCAATAATGACAACTTATTCGATAAATCAGCCATTTCTTGACGGATCCTTCTCATCTTCGAACTCGACTGAGATTTGGATGAGGTCATTCTGTTTACAAAATTTCATGTTAATTGGATGAGGCTTTCAAAAGTTATCGTGCTAACGACCGGATACACTGACCGAATCTAGAGTGTACTCACTTTTTGAGTACACAAAAAGAAACTTTTTTCGACCTCTGCTTGAGGAAACAAGGGACCTACCTCACTAATTTTGGATTGCCCTAAATGCATAGTTCCTATCTATAGCTGCTACTATTTTTAGTAGATCCGAAAAATATTCGATTGTCCGAAAATGTGCACTCCTCCTTCTGGCAGAATAACATTAATGTATTCTAGTTTTACCGCTATCGTCACATGTTTCCTTTTCATTTCCAGTCTGAGTCGATGCATATATTTTTCTCTCCTCGTCACTCGCGTCTCTTTCTGTTTTTCTTTCCTTACCATTCACATTCTCATTTTGCACTTGCATTCAATCATTTTTCTTTATTCTCTAATCGCAAATATTGTAATAACTTTTGCTTTTTAACAATTACTCTCCTACTTTTTTTATAAGCAATTTGTCTCAGCTCATTTCTTTATTCCACGTAGCAAAATAAAACACTGTTTTTACTACTCCATGTTTATCACCAGGTTTCATTGTACTAAAGATTCAAATCGTAATATCATGCTACAATATCTATCATAAAATCTTGGTCATTCAGTGTGTTTCTGCTCTTATTTCATGTAAGATAATACATACATCCTATTGTTATTGTTATTGGTAACTTATAATGTTAGTTGTAAGGATTGGTGGAAAATAGAAGAATTGAAAGAAAACCATAATATAATCACTAAGAGATGGCGTTGAGTTATTCGAAAAAAAAGATCCCCAAATTTTTCTCTTATTTAAAAGCTTGATAATGACTAGATTTTAGTTCGAATTTTTTCGTGATAAATGTTCATATTTAATATAGATTGTAAATAACTCAGTAATTTCAAACTAAAATACTGCATCATACTACGACTCAAATAGTGATTGGAATCAAGATTCGATTGCAAACTTTAGCCTTCTCGTCTGAAGAATTCATATATTGGCAGTGAAAATATTTTATGATCTTTATTGAATTTGACAAAATTATTTAGGTGAGTAACAGTCGTATGTCAAAACATTTAGTGCAAATCGGATGCCGTCTATTGTACGATTTGCAAAAAAAGTTCAATATACGAAAAATTAGAAGAAAAGGCTGATTGAAAGGTAATAAACTCTAAAGACTCTCTTAACAATCCTAAGATCGAATATTGAGAGTTCATTATTGTTCTGTAGGACTTTAAACTACAGAAGACAGAGGTCATAAAAATAACAATAAAATTCATGGAAAATCCAATACATGGTAATTTTAAAAATTTGTTTCAGAGAGACAAGATAAATCTATAACCACCGTACTGCAGATCTTAACCTCTTTAGTGTATAGAAAAAAAAATAGTATTTTATTTAACAGCTACACACAATGAATACAGTACAATCACCTATGCTGTCTGCAAATTGCGATGGACATCCCACAACCCTAGTTACTTATCAACCAACATATATTACAGGTGAATCGGGCATGTCGAGGCGTGCGAAAATTATGCTTATCGTAATTATTCTGTTAGCCATTCTTGGTTGCGTCTTGGTTACAGTGGGCAGGAGTGGTTTATTTAATCTATCCGGAGAAGAATCAAAAGGTATGAAAAAAACGGTTCTACATACGAATTCCACATGTTGAAAACAGTTTCCTATGTATAATTGAGAGAATTGAATTTTACGAAGTAAATTGTTATAATTATATGGCGTCTATCTTTGATTAACATCTGAGATTCACACATTGAGGTCGACTTTTCTGAAATATTTTGATACTTTTTTAATGCTATAGATTTTGTCAGCATTCTGCCACCTGGATGGAGTATAGAATGTCAATTTACTGATAAAGACAAAACTGAATATGTCACTGGTGAGATTGTTTCGGGTACAATCGAATTCTTCAATAGTGATGATTCGGAATTAAAATTTAAGAAGATTAATATTATATTGGTTGGTGAGGTTGTCTACAACATTTCAGAGAAGATAGGCAAAACAACATCAACAAAGACGTATAGGATGGTATTTTTCCAGCAAGATTTTCTTTCACACACGATTGGTAATGATAGTGGGATTTCCCTACCGATCGGTAGATACACTTGGTCGTTCAGTGGCCTTGTTGATCATCTCCTATTGCCTTCGATCAACATAACCGATCCGAAGAGTCCACTAGTTCACTATTTCATTCGTATAGAAATGACTCAAATCAAATGGTACAAGAAAAATGTTTACAAAAATTTTTTTCTTAATGTTCGACATAATTCACCGCTGTTTGTAAATGTAACGAGAGTCGAAAGTCAAGAAAAAAATAGAAATGTTCATATTCATGTCACTCTACCGAAGAATCGTGTCGTAACTGAGAGTAAATTCTTATTTGATATTGATTTACACAATTCGAATGAAGTGCTTATATATGGCGTGTCGGCATCTCTTGTTCAAATTTGGGACATAAGCTCCAGGAGAATACCAGGCGATCAACTATTTTATGTGAATCGGCAACAAGTGCAAATACTTTATCGAGATTTGGAAGGAACCCAATCATTTCGTGGCGAACATTTTCATAGAAGTTTCGAATTATTTGTACCTCGCACGATTCCACCTACATGCTCCATCGAACACCCTTCCTCGCTTACTGGAGCACGAATCGTCTTGAGTTATGAACTCTTGATCAAAGTTCAAGTTTCTGGTCTTTTCTCGGATATTGACATGAAAATTCCAGTCATCGTGAGCAATATAATTCATTTAAAAACTGCCGAAAAAATTCTGTCCACATCCAAAAACGAATCTAGTTTCTTCAATTGATTCTAAATTTTACTGAACTACGTTCACAAATGGTCAGTCATATTTATGGGTCCGAAAAACACTGAACAAAAACTTTTCTATTTTGTATTCATTCTTGATTTTAGCTGCAAAAAAGACTTGATAAAAATACATAACGATTTCTCGTTATATTGTTCTCATACTTGACCTTGTATGGGTCAGCAAGGCTACATTCAACTTCGAAAACGAATGGTGTATAGAAATTTACAATTATACTAGTGAAATATTATAGTTGACGGGTGCAGTTAGATTTACCTCAGCAGACGCTAGTCTATCATCAAACATCAGCACTAGTTTCCGCTTATGGATCACTGGCCAGTAATCGTCCTACTGCATATAAAATTGATTCGAATGAAAAATATTATTGGACTCAACAGAAATGTACATGTTTATATAACTCACTTATGCCAACAAGAATATGTGTCTTGTTGTCATAGGCAGGATTCGGGTGTGGATGGACATGAGTGTCACTTTTCTTAATCCACACTCACATCCTACATTTTCAATATACGTTCGTTGCTAATCTGACTGAAGACAATTATAGGATCAAAGTACTGTAAAGCCACTAAAATTGTCAATGAAAGGTATGAAAGCTTTTCGGTCTTTTCATATTTCTTTTTATACTGAATTGATACACAACTAAAGCTACATGACAAGTTCTTCTAGAAAGGATGCTGACTGATCCAGTACAATTCTGCATGAAGTTGACCAATCCTCACCCGTAAACCCAGCCAGTCACTTAAGCCCACACCCTCCCCAGCCGTGATGAATTTGATTTATTCCGAAAATTTATTTAAAAAAATCTCATTACTCATTTAAACTTGATAAGTTGATATTACATCAAGAAGAATTGCAATCATTATAAAATTAAATACTACATCTTACTGAACATGTTGTACATCAGAATGACATGATGTATTCAATCATATGCTTGACGTTAATAATTATTAGTAAACAAATTTAATCAAATTAACGAAGGATCTCTTCGAGAAAATGTTGGCAAATATTATATTGAATCCAGCCTGTAATGTTTAAATGGTATGATGAGTTAAGTAAGACACGATTAAAGTTAGAAATTGAAAAGCTCGGTTAGTTTTTAGCCGGATAGCGAGTCGGAATTTTAAAATTAAAGGTAAATGAGTTCAAATTCGGTGAGTATACTTATATATTTTACTCACTTTAAAAATCAACGTTTTGATTGAATGAGCTTAACAGAAATCACATCGTAAATGAACTATTATTAAGAGCTTTATTCAATTATTACGCTGACGGATAAAAGAAAACACTTGACAAGCTGATGCATTGATTAAACGTTTCATGAAAAATGGATTTTTATCAAAGCGGCTCTATTCCACATCTTCATTTGTATTCAAATTAAGTTTTGAGCTGGCCTAGTAATGGGTGATAACATGAAAAACGATCCGGGATATTGATGATTCTGCTCAATGATTTTTTCTTTGGACAAATCCATCCTGTTCAAGTAAGTACGATCGGAGTTCACGCGGATCCCAAGCTATGATCAATAGATTGTATTCGTGTTTTAACTCATATTGAATAGAAAGTTTCAAAATGATAAGTTTAACGAATATTGCAAGACAAATGAATTTGAATGCCGATGATTTCGTTCATGCGCTCCGCTTATTTCAAAAAATAATTCGAATTTCCTATATGTGATCAAAGATCGGATAGATACGGAATTTTTTATAGCATCCTTATATTCACTTATTTTGTTCATTTCGAAGTGAAACTTTCAAACAAGCCCGTTGTTCACAGTTCACACAGCACAACAACAGTGAAAAACATTGTTCTGTTTACATTATTCACTCATTTCAAGTAAAGATTGTGGGGCATCAAGATAATTAGAGGTCACATGAGTACTGAATATTTTCGAATATTATTATATTCATATAATTTATCGGCTTTAAAACGAAGATCTTCCGTTGGCAGGCAAGATCAAAGACAATATGCCAATGAACTATCTCAACCGCGACTCGGTTCAAATAAACTTTGTATTTCAAAGTGAATATTGCGATCTAATACGCTGACCTATGATCATAAAGCAAATATATTTTCCCCAGGATTCTTCTGTTCGTTTATGTTGGCCAGTTGAAAGCAATAGTTTTGAATTCGTCAATCAATGAATATAATAATACATGTACAATACCACCACCATGATTGTATTCAAATATTTTATTCAGTTTGAAGTAGAGGTTTTCTGTTTTAAGGCAATTTAAATTTCCATGGCAAACAATATCCTCAACAGAACTGTGTTATCTAACGGGTTTATTCTCAGCAAGTCAAATATGCATAATCGATGAGTTCGTTGAATGTTACATAAATAATGAATTAGCATAACCAATGTTCTGTTCTCTTATTTAACGAATTTAGTGATGAAATTTTGGTTAATAACTTGATAAAATGTCTAAGAAAAAATGAATTCTAATCAAGAGAGATTTATTCTAATAACCCATTGACACTGAAGAGTATAATTTTGAGATTTTCTTAGTAATAACGTGTTTAGAAAAATGAAATCTCACAACGAAAATACCATTCACCTATTTTATCAATCACAATTACAGAATGGTGATGTATGAACTAAGGAATCAAATCCTAACTACTAAAAATTAGCGTTTGAAATCGATCGAAATTTCAAAATCCTATGGATACATTAGAGATTGATAATTCAATTATTCTGTAACAAAATCAACGTTATAATCGAAGATATCTATCGAATGGCAATTTGACCGATTAATAAATTTTATTTTAATAGATAATAATTTAACTTTTGGTTCACAATAGTCATGATGAAAATCCTAATATAATGACTTCAGTTTAGTTGTGATCGAGTTTCTATACTCTTATACTGGCCTATAAACAAAAGCGTGGGATAAAACTGAGCAACTATCTTTCGCTGTAAAAATACGCTGAAAAACATTGCTTAAAATTAGATTTTACGATAATTTAAAACGTGAATTTTTTGTCTTGATTCTCTGCTACCTATTAATCGATTTCAACTTCTACTTGACTTGACTGCTAACCTACATTCTCTGTTACTACTTGTTAATCGGATTTGTTCATGGACACCAAAAATCAACGATTTTTATCGAAATCAGAATGCTATATACTAATTTCTTAAGATATTTTAGATTAGATGCTTTAGAAATCATGACATCGTCACGCAAGTTAAATTTAGAGACTATGCGAAGTGTTTTCAAATTGAGGTGACGCAGTTGCATCAGAAATCAATTGAAATTAGTTAATCGTGCAACATGTACTGTAATTCCCAAATACTGTGACAATAAAAATAGATTCAATTATATACTATTCAAAATATATGTAGCGAGCATTCATCTCGTTCAGAAAATTAACTCTTAATAATGTATGCATAAAAATAGTATAGTCATTAAACGTATCAGCTCAATATCACCCATTCGTTCTTAAAGTTACTCCGATTGTTTCCGAGTCTATACTAGGCCAGCTTCATTCTTGAAACTCCTACTTATTACATCAAGTTTGAAACTAGGACGACGTTGATGTCAGTAAATATTTGTTGTACTTCATTCATAAGTACCCAGCACGAACGTTAACTCAAATATATCCTGCCTGTTTGCCAGATTAATTTACGTCTTTACACATCTTGCTGAAATTCTACAACTTTTCTATAATCAATTGGTATTATTACAATCCGAGTTTTAGTGAAATAATCGATGGAAATTGATTGAAACAATTTTTTCAATAGATTCTGGAGACTAACTGAATTTTATTCGGATTATCGTGCAAAAATCGAGGTAGTTTTCATAGAAATGTTTTCCGTTGGCTAGCCATTCTCCTTTCCTACCTGTATCAAAAATATTACGATGATTCCCTGCATACCCTGTGGACTCAGCACGCGATACACACACTATACCTACACTGAAAAAAAAAGGTGTCACACGAAACCCTTGAGGTTTCGTCGAGTTTTACGATACCATATAAGTATCCGTAGAATCATACGAAACCACTATGAGGTTTCGCGAAATCCAAGGCTCTGTAAAAGACTTCAAAGAGTTTTAAAATGTAAAAAGGTTTCGTCCGGAACCCTTCGAATTGTGTCTTACCCCATAGGTTTGGTCAAAAACCCTTTCGAGTTTCGCATTCAGAAGGGTTTCGTAATAAACCTAGTGTACAATTCGCTCATCACTACATTACCATTCAAAATAATAACTTCTATTTTCTACTGTTCAGAATTTTCGAAGAACCCCATTCACACAAAACGAGAACATCAGTTTCCGAGCTGTTCCCAATTTGTAAGAGGATCTCACAGTATAAAAGCTTTTGACCACTACACAAGGAGGCCATCATGTCAGTTCAATATATTTCTGAAGAACATTTTCGCCAACCACATTGCACCGATCAAAAATTCAATTGCTGCCACAATAAGATTTTTTATTACAACTCCGGGCAAAATTGTCAAATAACTTTGTAATAGTTTATCGAGGTCCAGCAACCCGAATATGTAGTCAGTTTTTCGCGTCGCGTCCCCGTTGGTCAGAAAATCGGTCCCTGTCTAAGTCAAAAACTGTAAAGGTCGATTTTTTATTTCAACTCCGAGATAAATTCTGATGAAAGTTTGTAATAGGTTATCGAGATCCAGCAACCCGAATATGATTTTTATTAAGATCAAGCGTCATTTGATCAAATAATAATGGTAAGTTCTACTTTAAAACTTAAGACATGGTGAAGTATTTGTTTCGATTTAGCGCAAGGGTCACTTGAACAAATGATAAGGATGAGTTGGGATTTGAAAGTTACAAATTGATGAATTATTTTTTTTCTGTTTAGATCCAGGCTCAGCTCTACAAATACTAATGGTAAGTTTCATTTTTATAAGTTACAACCTGAGAAATATTTTACGTATATTTAGATCCACCGCCAGATGAAGAAATACTAATGGTGAGTTCGATTTTGAAAGTTAAATGCTGATGAATTATTATATTTATATTTAGGGCAAGTGTAAGATGAAGAAATACGAATGGTGAGTTCGATTTTAAAAGTTAACACCTGATAAATCATTTTATTTCTTCTTAGATCGATTCTCAGATGAAGCAATATTTAATGGTGAGTCATTTAGAAAGTTAAAAGCTGATTAATTAATTTTTTTTTCTTTTTAGATGAAACATCCCACACCGATCGCTTCACCCACCGGAATCTGGAGGAACTGGCAGGAAAGATGCCTGAAAGTCCCCGTATTCTGTAGGGGAATACATGGTGTCGGTGGAACATGAAAACAGTATCCCGGTCGCAAACCTTCCTGATTTTTCTAGTGAGTTCCGACCAACTTGCAATGCCTTTCGGCAAGTTGCGGCGGAAATCATTGAAAACAATTTGCGAAAGTTGGCGGTCGGAATACCGCTTCCATGTTTCAGCGATATCCTGGGTTCTCCTGCAGAATACGGCGACTTTCAGACAACTTTCCTGGTGGTTTCTACAGAACTCGGTTCTTTTTTAGAGAATGGGTGTGTTTTGCAGTGAATAGTGGTGGAAAACTACTTCCATAATGGAGCATAGCACCCGGCGGATCTTTCATTCAATACTGCGTGGTGAATTATACGGAACCCCAAATACGAAACCCCTGTTATCAGCTATTAAAATTAAGGCTTTTTACGAAACCTCAAAGGATTTCGATTTGGTTGCAAAAATCGGATACCTTTGGGGTTTCGTATGGTACCTTTTTTTTCAGTGTACCAAGCAGTGTAGAATATAATAAAGCAATTTTTACTCCAACACTGAATTGGTGCTGCCATATTCTACACTATAATCTTCTTAGGAATTTCACTAGTATTTTATTTGCTTTAAAGTAAAATTCGTGTGGTAGGCTCAATAGAATTAATGTGAAGTATGTATATTCATAGCAAAAGCTCTCTATTGTGTTCTACTGACGAGAGAACATTTTCAAGTGATGATCGAGCTTTATTCTGAAGTGTCATCTGGAACTAGACCTCAGTAAGAATAGAGAAGACCAAATAAAGTCGATATCACTCAATATCTTTTGCCGGTCTACCTAATTAATAATATTATAGCATTTTTACAGCTTCATTTATTTAATTCAACTATGTTACCGATTTGCAACCTGACAATTGACCCATTTGAAAATTCGAAGAGAGTTTCAATGAAATCATCGAGCGTGACCGAACAATGTCAGGCACTCGGTGAAAAAAACTGAAATTTTGATATTTTTGGTCGATTCGAACTATTAATATATGAAACTACTAATCCGATAATTCTAGCTTCTAGTATCCTCCTTTCGAAAAATTAATCAATACCATAATTTAGCGGCATCATAAGTTTCTGAGAAAAAACAGCAAAGGTTACCCTATCAGACTTATGTATGTTTACGTTTCAGAGGACCATTTTAAACTTCCATGAAATATATCAAAAGATAGATTTTCAGTAATTGTAAAAGCTAAGTACAATACAAATGTTGTATTTTCATTAAATTATTGAGATAATATTGTTCCACATGAGTGAATATTGACAGTTTAAAAGTCTATCACAATTGACTTCTGCAGTTTAACTGCTGTCATCTTTTAACCTCAAACGATCCGAAGTATAATATATAAAAATTGACCTTGGATCTCTTGATTTTACAAAAATGAAAGCAGATACACCGCGTAGAATCAATCTAGATAAACTCTTGACCTGTATCAATATCCTTTCTTCCCGCACAATATAATCTTTTCTATATGCTCACCATAACAATGTCACTCTTTTGAAAAAAATGAATATTTCTTACAGGTGAGGCTCACAAACTTTAAAACTTTGTACGCAAGCAAGTGTAGCTGAGATTTAATGTACATGCAATTCTAGATAAATAGTCGATAATATGATTTGGTTCACAATGGTGAGCGGTTGAAAATGTAGAACCAAAGTCTTTGGTCTATTTCTCCGGGGTCTTGATATTGGAAAAGATCAGTCAATGAGATTCCTTCATTTTCTACGATAAAAACGACTGCTAGATGCGCTGAGAAGGATATATATCTGCACTGGTGTTTGTAATCTTAAACTTAAACACTGAATTCAACTATTAAAATATTCTTCAAATATTTCGGTATTCAGCTGTTTGTGTTTATACTTTCGTGGTATCATCAGTGACACCAGATGGGACTCAATACGAGCGGTTGATTACATATTCCTAC